AGTCCTTGAACGTTCAACACTATGTGTCATTTTTAACCAAGGCCTAGACTTCTTCTGTTATAGCTGCTATCCATTCAGGTTGTTAGAGTGCCCCTTGGACATTTGTTGGGATATGTATACTGTCAAGAGCTGCTACAAACGACCTATACCCCTATGACAATTTTTCATAGGATACATAATTTCCAATGGGGTGTTGAGTGCAAGATCTCACCCCTTTTCTTAATGTAATAGGAATGTCAATGTCATCAATAGGTTCAGGATTATAAACGATATTACCTAGCGAAAACTCATTTTTTATAGCTTGGTTTGAGTCCTGACTTTGCTTTGGAGCTGTGCTAGACTCTACTTCTTTTCTTTCAGGTGCAGTCTCGGCTGGCTCTGCATTTGCTACTATAGTTTCCTCGACTGCAGGTACAGTTTTGACTGGTTCTGCATTTGGGGCAAAGTGAGTCAGCTCAAATTCCAAAAGTGGAAATTCTGAAAGTTAGGATTTTGCCATTTCAATTGGATAAATTTTCTTCCCCTGAATGTCAACTTTAGGGTAATAAGGCTGATTCTCAAAAAAGGTGACATCCATGGTGTGGTAAAATTTCCTGGTTTGAAGTGAATAACATTTATACCCCTTTTGTTGGAGAGAATAGCTGAGGAAAATACATTTTATGGATTTTGGGTCAAGTTTGATACGACAAGATGGAGGTTATGGATAAAGGTTGAACATCCAAATATTTTCAAGGAAATGGATGTAAAGATACGACTAGTAGGGTATGAGGTTTGGAGAGTAGAGTGAGGTGTGTTAAAGTTTAGGATTCGGGAAGACATTCTGTTTATGAGGTAGGTTGCAGAGAGGACAGCTTCTCCCCAAAATTGGTTGGGTACATTTGTAGCCAACATGAGAGATCTGGTCACTTCTAAGAGATGTCTATTCTTTCTCTCAGTGACCCCATTTTGCTGAGGGAAATCTACACATAAACTCCGATGTATGATTCCATGTCTCTAAAGGTAGGAACTTAGTGTAGAGTGATAATACTCTCGGTCATTATTACTCCTAAGTACCTTAATCCTACTTTGAAATTGTTTCCACCATAGTATGAAAAATTCAAATATTCTGCCAACTTCTGATTTCTCCTTCATTAGGAACACCCAAGTGACCCGTGTGTGATCGTCTATGAAGATGACAAACCATCTTGATCCTGTGACACTATTTACTCGTGATGGTCCTCATATATCGATGTGAATTAGGGAGAAAGGTTAAGAGGGATTATAGGGTTGAGGCAGGTATGAGCTACAGGTTTGATTGGACAATTGACATATTTCACATTAAAACAACTCCTAATTTTTATTGAATAATATGGGAAACATTCTTCTTAAGTACATAAAATTTAGGTGGTCAAGCCGATAGTGGCACAACATTACAGAATTTTTATTTTTAGGTACCAAAACACAAGAGTTGGCCTTGGGTTCTGTCTTTGACGCTTCAGTTTGGAGGCAGTACAGTCCAACACATTCTTTAGCAATATCAATCGTCTCCCTCGTTTCCAAAATCTGAAATTCACATAGGTTAGGGAAGAATTTAGTGACACTTCAAATTTTTTGTCAGTTTGTTAATAGACAGTAAATTACAGTCAAGTTTAGGCACATAAAGGATTGACTTCAAGTTAATATTTTGTGAGATAATAACTGAACCTTTACCCATGACTTTAGAAAGGGACTCATCAGTTATCCGAATTGTGTAATTATTGTGGCAAGGAGTATAGCTTTTAAATACAGTTAAGTCTCCAGTCATGTGATTCGAGGCTCCTGAATCAATGATTCATGACTTTGATTTTTCTATGCTAGTATTTAGAGCATGCAAGAAAATACCTTTTTGTGCTTCTGCAGTTGTACCAATTATTTGCTGAAAAATTTTCTGCAGTGTTTCCATTTGCTCCTTGCTAAATGGAGATGGATTAAAATTTACCTCTGTTGTGTTGTCTTTACTGTCCAAATTTTTTATCTGTTTTTCCTTTGAAGACTTGCCATGAATAATCCAGCAGGTGTGCTTAGTGTGTCCCAATTTTTCGCAGTGATCGCACCATGATCGATTTTTCTTTTTAGATGGATGAGATTGGTTCCCCTTTGTTGCCATTATTGTGCCTTCAATGGGTGGGGCTGCACTTGACTTTTCAAGCATTACTACTTTCACTTCTGAAAATACTTTCCGGATTATTTTAAGAGGATTGGTTCCAAGGATTCTCCATCGGACTTCATCAAGTTCTATGTTCAACCCCAATAGGAACTTGTAGATCCTATTTTCTCCACTAATTCTTTATACTTCTTCTTATCCTTTACACAACTCCATTGAACGTCTTCATATATGTCTAGTTGTTGCCAATATCGGTTGAGTGTATTAAAATACTTAGTAACTAAGAAATCACCTTGTCGCAGTTTATGGAGTATGTTCTTGATCTCAAATACCGTAGACGTATTGTCCATATTTGAGTATGTTTCCTTCACTACATTCCATATCTCCTTGACAGTGTCATAGTACATGAAATTCTCCTCAATTTCATTGGTCACGGTGTTGAGTAATCATGACATGATTAAACTGTTTTCTAGTTGTCTTTGTTGAGGTTAGGATCACCCTTTACTGGACACTTGGAGTCTCCGATGATATAATATTTCTTCCCATTTTTCTTGAAGGAAGATTTTAACTGAACGTACCCATTAAGGGTAATTTTGATCATTCAATTTGTGACCAGTGATAGGAAGAGTATGTTCTTCGACCAAACTGGTGGTAGAACCTCCTACCTTGTTCTCTTCCATGATTGGTTGTGCTAAATTAGGAATGATCCAGATCGAACTCTAATACCATACAAAAAATACGTTAGGTATATCTTATTTTAGAAAAGATGCAAATGAAGTATAAATAAAATATAATATAACTATGCATAAATAAAATTGATTATATTATCACTAAATCCTATTATAATTGAATTATTTTAATTCATATTATTGATCTCAATTGTTAACAAATGTAAAAAACAAATTATCAGCATTGTTTCAAATAATAGGGGCTGGCACATACTGGTATTATTTTGTTTAAACAAGCGAAAGAATAAGGTCTCGAGAAGGCCAGGCTTCCAATGCAATAGTTAGGTAAATAGGTTTAGTATTCATTTCTCTTTAAATTAAGGATAGTTGTTGCAAGGGGCCAGTCTCAAAAAAGCTATAGCGGGATGAACTTTGAGGTTGATATAAATAAGGCTAAATAGGTTTCTTATGTTATTATTTATTTTTATTTTTATTTCTTTCCATTATTATTTTGTGTGTGAATTTGGTCTATTATTATTCATGCTAATATAGTTAACATGTCATCAATAATATCTTATATTGACATGTGTCTGTCATATATGCCAGTATTATCTTTGTGTCATGTCTATGTCCACACCACATAGAAATTTTCCTTAAATAACTTAAAGACATTGATGAAAGGAATAAAATTGATTTATTTTCAAAAATAGTGAACCAAATTAATTCTAAAAATAAAATTAAAAAATAAGATGAAAAAAACTAGTCGGTAAACAATTATATTTACATATATAAATGCTAAAAAATGTATGCATACCTAAGTTATAAATTTAATGATAAGGGTAGAAGAGATAGCCTGCAATTAAAGGTGAAACTTGAATGACGTGTTTCAAAATGTGGAATTTGGGGTATTGAAGTACGGGACGAATCAGAGAGACAAAGAGACACAATATACTAACAATAATCGAGGCCAAACAAAACGGGATAACATAGATTAGAGGGCTGAAGAGATCATTGGCTGGCTGTAAACTGTCACAGGTTGTCTGGGCAACACTGGAAATACCACTGGATAAGTGGATGGCTCCTAAATTCAACTTCATGATCTCTATTAAAGACCCCTCAAGAAAACGAAAAATTTCAAACGGAGTAGGTGAGGAGATGAGGCACTGCTACAGTAGAATGCTGTTTATCTATACCTAAGCATGGTAATAAAATAAAACCTCCTAAACATTGTTGACAAGCAGATCAGGACTGAGTAAGTCCATGAGCAAGGAAAACCGCCAAACTGCGAAAATACAAATTATTTCTGGCTTTATTAAGACCTAACTTCCCCTGCTTAGGCTTACAGTCATATGTCATTTTATTATAAGTTCTGTTTTGTCTTTTAATAGTTAGTTCTAAAATAAAAGTGGAAATTAGATAAGATTCCTAGGGACAAGAGGCTATAAATAAGTCATTCTTTGTAAAGTCAATCATCATTCAGAAATTAAAAAAAAAGTTTGTTTCTCTTTCATCTTTATTCATCAGAGAATAAGAGAGAGGTAGGAAAAGGCAAGAATCTTTCTTTACAATTAGTATAAGTTGAAAGGCAACGATCATGGTGACCAACAAGGAACTCGAAACGCGTGTGGAATCCTTTAAGAAAATTCTTACAGATTCACAAGAACAAACGAATAAGACATTGCTGGCGATGCAGAAAACTATGGAGACTCTATCAGCTTCCGTGGTGGCGTTAACAGCGGGAACCAACATTCCACCTCCGAACGACGATGAAAGCGAATCTACTACGTCAGTATTACATCACGCACAGCTTCAATTTCCCAATTTTGATGGCACAAACTTTAGGGTTTGGCGAGCCAAGGCAGAGCAATTTTTTGAATTAGAAGGAACACCAGTGAACCAAAGAGGGAAACTGCTCCTGTTATCCATGGAAGGCAACGCCTTTGCATGGCAACGACATTATATCAAAAACCCCAGCTTCAAGTCGAAATCTTGGACCAATATCTTGCTTGATGTAGGAAACAGATTTGATGATGGAGCCTACGATGACCCTATTGCTGAAATCTTGCGCTTACGGCAACAAGAATCTTTGCCTGAATATCTTGAAAATTTTGATTCTTTGTTAGTGCGTGTGGTGATTTCTGAAGGCATGACTCTCAGTTTCTTCCTCGCAGGTTTGGAAAGCCATTTAGAGAAATCAGTTCGTCTTCATAACCCCAAATCCATCCAAGAAGCAATACGTCTAGCACGATTACAGGATGATATTAATAAAGAATTAGACAAGAAGATCTCTACAGAGAAATCAGTAACTTCCAATGTGCAACCTCGCTACACAAGACCACGGCTTAATCAACCATTCACATCCAGAACTCCACCCATCACAACACTACAAAATCACTCTCAGAATTCCACTACTAATCAAGCTTATCCGGACTCTAAGGGAAGCTCAACTTCTATTTCATCTACAAAAGAGGCTAGTGAGAGAATCTCCAAAGGATTGTGTAGATTTTGTGGTGAAAAGTGGGAGAAAAATCATAGATCGAGATGTAAAGTTTGGGGAAAATTAAATGCGATTTTTTGTGCCCAAGAAAACTTCAATCAAGAAAACACAGATGTTAGTGAAGATGAAGATGATGAATCTATAGTAGAAAACAGTTTAGCAATGTTGCATAGTGATAATGTGCATGTTTCTTTACATGCTTTGAGGGGTATAGCAGGTGGCAACACACTTCAGTTGCAAGGTCTCATTAAAAAACAGGCAGTATCTTTCTTAATGGACACCGGAAGCACTCATAACTTCATCAGTGCTAAGTGGGTGAAGTTACTGGGCTTAAAAACTCAACCGGTTAAAGATTTTCCAGTTGTAGTTGCTACTGACACACCTATTACGATCTCAAGGAAATGCGAAAAGCTAACTTGGAAATTTGGTGCACACAGTTTTACAGCAGATTTTCTAGTATTACCAGGCATAACATTCGGCATAATCCTTGGCATGCAATGGTTTCGAACATTGGGTGAAATTGCTTGGAATTGTGCTAAGTTAACCATGAAATTCCAGCATGAAGGGAACACTATAACATTACAAGGAGAGACACAGAACAAGTTACTGCTACAGGATAGTGGAAAACTTAAAGCAATTGATATTCAGGCAATGTTATTTCCTATCATTGGTCCTCTCTGTTTTAACATCATAATACCTGAAAATACTAGTGATTTGGATGAACAACAGCAGTTGGAATTGGAGAACCTGTTACAAGAATACAGTAGCTTGTTTGTTGAACCTACTCAATTACCACCTAACAGGAAATATGATCATAAAATTGAGCTCACAAATGAGAAGCCTATTTGCTTGAAGCCTTACAGATATCCTCGAGCACAAAAAGAGGAGATTGAAAGACAGGTGAAGCATATGTTATCCACTGGATTTATAAGAGAGAGTTGTAGTTCATTTTCCGCACCATTGGTGTTGGTGAAGAAGAAAGACGGATCCTGGAGATGTTGTACTGATTTCAGAAAGTTAAATGCTGCCACTATCAAGAATAAGTTTCCTATGCCATTAATTGAAGACCTACTTGATGAATTAAAAGGAGCTACTTACTTTACCAAGTTGGATCTAAGGAGTGGGTACAACCAAATCAGAATGGTTGAAGATGACATTCACAAGACAGCTTTTAGAACTCATAGTGGACACTATGAATGGGTAGTGCTTCCATTTGGGTTGAGCAATGCCCCTGCCACATTTCAGAACCTCATGAATGACTTGTTTAGAGAACATCTAAGGAAATTTATCCTTGTGTTCTTTGATGACATTTTGGTTTATACAAAAACGTGGGAAGATCATATCCATTGTCTCGAGCAAACTCTTCAAATCTTGGAGGCAAATACATTGGCATTAAACTACAAGAAGTGCAATTTTGGCACAAAGCAGGTCGAATATTTAGGCCACATAATAACTAAGGAAGGTGTTGCTCCTGATATAAGTAAAATAGAGGTTGTTCAGAAATGGAAAAGACCAACTACTGTGAAGGAACTTAGAGGCTTCTTGGGACTCTCAGGATATTACAGAAGGTTCATCCGAAACTATGGCAAAATGACTTCTCCATTAACTACTTTGTTGAAGAAAGACACAACCTTCATTTGGGAACAAAAAGCTGAGGAGGCATTCAACAGTATCAAACAGTCATTAACTTCTGCACCTGTTCTAGCATTACCTGACTTTCAGCAACCCTTCACTATAGAAACTGATGCATCAGCTTATGGAATAGGAGTTGTACTGCTGCAAAATAACCATCCAATTGCCTTTATCAGCAAAGCAATGGGTCCTAAGTTTCAACTCCTTTCTGCGTATGAGAAAGAATTTTATGCTATTCTTTTTGCTGTAAAGAAATGGCTCCACTATTTCCTTAGGAATCACTTCATAATAAAAATAGACCAGAAAGCTTTGAAGCATCTCCTTGAGCAACCACCTACAACCCTCATGCAGAATTGGGGTTTATAGTAGCTTATGGGGTTGGACTTTAGTATAGAATATAAAAAAGGGAAGGACAATGTCGTGGCAGATGTTATATCCAGAAAATGTGTTCCAGGACAATTAGTCACCATCTCACATTTGTTAAATGAATTGGTCATTAAAGTCAAACAAACTTGGCAACAAGACCCCAAATTACAGAAGATCATTGACAGAATCAAACTAACAGGAGGCCCTCACAAACACTATGGTTATGCCAACGATTTACTCAAAAGAAAAGGGAAGTTAGTAGTAGGTGCAGATAAACAGCTAAGATAGGCAATTCTTAGCCATTTTCATGATTCCCCAATCGGAGGACATTCTGGAATTGATCAGACTTACAAAATTATAAACAACATTTTTACTGGAAAGGATTACAGAAAGAGGTAAGAGTATGGGTAAAGGAATGTAACACATGCCAGAGATTCAAATCATTGCCTCAACTTTCAGCAGGGTTGTTGCAACCTTTACCAATCCCTGAAGGGGCCTGGAAATCAATAACAATGGACTTCATTATAGGGCTGCCCAAGTCAAACGGGTTTTCAGTAATTTTGGTGGTTATAGATAGATACACAAAATATGCACATTTCATAGCATTAAAACATCCCTTTGGTGCTGCTGTAGTTGCTACTAAATTCATGGAAATCGTGGTAAAGTTACATGGCTGGCCACAGGAAGTTATTTCCGATAGAGACCCTATCTTTTTTAGTACATTCTGGAATGAATTGTTCAAATTCCACAAAGTCAAGCTGTTGAGATCTACAACATTCCACCCTCAGACTGATGGACAATCTGAGGCATTAAATAAAACCTTAGAGGGATATTTAAGATGCATCACAGGCGATACACTTAAACAGTGGACCACCTACCTGTCCTTTGCTGAACTTTGGTACAATTCCAAGTTTCATGCAACTATTCAGATGACCCCCTTTGAGGCCTTGTATGGCTACAAACCGCCACTACCTTGTCCAACATTAATAGAAGGCAGTCTAGTGGAAGCAGTGGACTTTATTGTGAAGACTAGAAATCAGATTTCCAGGTTGTTGCACACCAATTTGACAAAAGCTCAAGAACGAATGAAGTTTTATGCCGATCAGAACAGAACTGACAAAGAATTTGCTATTGGAGACATGGTTTACTTAAAGATCCAACCATTCCGACAACATTCCCTAGCTAATTCAGCCTTTCATAAGCTTGCAGCTAGATACTTTGGGCCATATAAAGTATTAGAGAGAATAGGAAAAGTGGCTTACAAACTTGAGTTACCTGCTGGAACCAAAATACATGACGTGTTCCACGTGAGTCTTTTAAAGCAACATCATGGACATCACCAGGTATTCCTTCAATTACTAGCATTTAATGAAGATGCAGAAGTCACTCTACAACCCATGGTAATTTTAGATAGACGCATGAAGAATAAGAACAATAAAGTTGTCACTGAAGTTCTAATACAATGGGAATTTACAAATCCGGAGGATGCCACGTGGCACGAGCTTCAGGAATTACAGCACCAACATCCAAGCTTTGATTGGCTTCCACGTTGACCAGACCTTGAGGACAAGATCTGCTTTCATGGGGGGAAAACTGTCATATGTCATTTTATTATAAATTATGTTTTATCTTTTAATAGTTAGTTTCGAAATAAAAGTGGAAATTAGATAAGATTCCTAGGGATCAGAGGTTATAAATAAATCATTCTTTATAAAATTAATCATCATTCAAAAATTAAAAAAGAAGTTTGTTTCTCTTTCATCTTTGTTCATTAAAGAAGAAGAGAGACGTAGGGAAAAGCAAGAATCTTTCTTTACGCTTACACTTACCCTGTTAGTTACTGAGAGCCATCAAAAACCGCCCTGGAGTAGGTTCTTAACACTGTATGTCCTCAAAAAAGGTGCTTTCAGGCATCTAGCCTTAAGGCCCAATTCCAGGCACTTAGTCCTGATGTAAGTGACAGAATTGGGGACAATTTTCAGTCTCGAATTTTGCCACTAATTTTGACCTTTACTTCTAATTCATCATGAATTCTTGATGATCTGATCCACATCTGTAACTCTCCAATGTCTTCTAAAGCAATCCTAAAATGATTTTCTTGCCCCTCTTTGATTAGCCATCCCAGTCCTCTATCAACCAATCATCTAGACAAATGCCAGTGAGAGTCATTTGGTAGTAAAACTTGGGGAAAAAGTCTTTCCTCGGGGGGATCCCCAGTTCGCAATCTTCACAATCTTGCTCCCCCAAAAGCAAACCAAGCAACCTTGGTACATGGCTGAATATGGGTTTCTGAAACCCATCACAGTCACTGAAACAGCGTTCGAACGGCTGTGATTTAAGCAACCACAACTGCAATAAAAAACTGCTCTTCTATTTGATTCATATAGGGGCCAAAAGACAGATTTCTCCACAATGTGGTTGTAGTGCAATATTGAGTTATTGACTACTATGAAATTACAGTAATAGAGCTAATTTACATATATATTTCCCCTTATATGAATATGAAATAATTCCATGTTTGACCATAGCATGGTATACCTTCAGCATCCTTATCTAGATGAATAAAACTAACATCCTAAAACAATTATTTGACTTTCCCCCATTAAACAGCATAAATCATGCCAGCTAGTAACAAGTTGTAGCCCTACTGTCATAAAATGAATAGATAAGCTAAAGTGAGACAACCATGTGTGAAAATGGTGAGAGAATTCAATTATTGTTATCATAACATGTTCCCAGTCTATAGCGTTTATTCTTTAAAACTGTTTTGGAAGATTTGGGTCACAAGTCGAATGAAGCATTTCATAGATGGCAAAAGCTATTTTGTTTTTCAATGAAAGGGACCACTTTTCCATTAGTCAAATTTCACACTTCGAATATATTGATAAATAAACAAACACCAGAAAATATAAAAGAAGGAAAAAAAATCCTGTAATTTTCACAAATTGTGCATAAGTGAACTTCGATTTTCTTGAGGTTCTACAGAACAAAAGAAGGAAATGAGGGCAAATGATTGAAGTTATAAGCCTTATTTTTTACCTTGCAATGTGGGGGCTAGTTCTGTGTTCTTTCAGATGTGCAATTTCATGTACCATATAAATCTTCTTGAGGGCTAAGGCTGCAAAGGAAAAAAATTCAGATATGACTAACTTAATCCAATATCAAATTGATGTTCTTTAACATCCTGAAAATAAAATTACAAATATTAAATTGGTAATATTGATATTAAATTCATTGACATAAATGATTTAGATTGTGGAAAGACAGATGGTCATCTGAAAGTTGATAACTGAATGATGTTAAATCATTGTTAGTGAGAAAACAAAAATCTAGTAAGGTAGATAATAACTTTAAAGTTGATGTTACTAAGCTGAATGGTTGGGAAGGCATCTGATGATGCTTAAGAAAATCAATTTGCGTACAAGCACCTGTTCTCATGTTGCAGCAACTTTCAAATCTAGGGAGGACCACAGCAAACAACTTGAATTGGAGGAGCCACGGAAAGCTGGGCTTGCGCCAGCTGAGGTAGATGAAGATGGAACCCTCATATCCCCCAGTATATGTCTTCTGCTCCATGGTATTTGAATGCTGAGAAACCTGTAAGTGTCCCAACTTTCTACTACTTTTTTTTTCTATTTCTCTTTGGACACTTAATTGTTATGAAATTCTGTGTTCTGAGTGGCTTTCTCTTATTTCTTTAGAGTCTAAAACATCAAAGGAAATGGAAATCAGATCCAAATTATACAAAATCTTGGTATCATAGAGGTGCAAAAATATTTCAGGCTGACACGTACAGGAAGGGAGCATGTGAGAAGTAAGTGGATTTTTTTTTTTATCCAATTTTTCTAATTCTGATATGTCTCTGCAGTTATCTGGAAATGGTGTCTTTCTGCATGAAGAATATTAACTGAAAACCAAATACAGGTTTGTTTTCTTTAGTTGCAATGAGGTGCAATGCTGATTACTCTGGTAAAACTCATGTATTGTTATTGTTCAGTGACAAAACTTATCTTTTTCATTTTATACTTTGATACCTAGTTTCGTTATAATATTCCAATTTGATCAAGATGCTTGGTCTGCCTTGTGTAGCTATGTTATTCAACTACGGATTTATTATATTAATTTATATAAGATAATTTTATTTTGGTTGAGGTTTTGAGGATGGAATTGAAGATTGCGTAGATGTAGCCATAAACTTTCATTTAGCTATGAGTTTCATGTGTAGGTGTCTCGTGTTAATTGAAAGCGTACCTTATATGTAGCTATAGGCTTTCATGTTTAGGTGTTTCTAGTGTTAAGTGAAACTTGAATGTTTCTAACTCTTGTCTTTTCCTCCAAGGCATTTATGATATAAATATAAAAAATGAAGTCAATTTAGTAAATTTTGGATATAGTTACAAAATGGTCAAATAAGAGATGGTGCTTGAAGGGAATTACTTTTTTCTCTAGGCGAGTTTGCTTTTCTAAGTAGGTCTTGCAGTCGCCTATATTCATACATAAATAATTATGTGATGATTTTAATACGCATGATGCTAGTGGTAGCACCTTTTATCAGTTTTTTCAGTTAAACCTGTGTTCTCAGGATTTGTTTTTTGACTTATTAACATTACTAGTTATGAAAAAATGACATTATTTTCCATCCACTTTTGGCGTATATTTGTCCTTAAGCTGTGGAGCAAGGACACATAATGCAAAGTTATGCATGGAGAGGCCTCGAAAGACAGGAGCAAAATGGATAAATATGCATATTGCTCCTGATGACAAGATTGAAACTTTTGAACTTGATTATGATGGCAAGCGAGATCATGGAATGGGTATGATATGGTAACCTATGCTCATGTCATATAAAGGTATGAAGCAAGGGATGAGGCCCGAATGAAGTACTTAAAAGAACAACAATTAAAGAGATTGGAGAAGAAAAGCAATAAGCAAAAAGGGTGAAATGAACCAAGTGATGATGATGAAGAAGACGCCCTGAAGGTTGATGAAGCTAAGGTTGATTAGAGCAAACAGGTGGACTTTGCCAAAGTTGAGAAACGTGTTAGAACTACAGGTGGTGGCAGTACAGGAACTGTAAGGTGTATTTCCTTTTTCTATTTATCTTCCTATTTGTTTGCTATACTTAGCAGAGCAGAACAACAGTGTCTCAACCATAATCCTTCACCTGAAGAAAATGTCATATTTTGTGATTGTTATTCTGATTCTATTTGTTTGCTTTAGAAACTTGTGTATCCGAGAGGACATAGCAAAATACCTTTTGAATCTTGATGTCAATTCTGCTTATTATGGTCCAAAAACCGGTTCTATGCGACAAGATCCCCTTCCTGATGTTGATCCTAATGAGAAGTTCTATGGAGTGAGTACCATGGGTGTTGGGAGATTTTATTTTGTTTTTAGATCCATATAACTTTCAAGCTTCTTTTCTTAATGTAGTGTGTTTATTCTTTTTTTTGCAGGGAGATACCAATATAGAATGAGTGGACAAGCTTTGGAGTTCAAGCACCTTAACATTCATGCGTGGGAATCATTTGAAAAGGGCCAGGATATTCACATGCAAGCTGCACCTTCCCAAGCTGAATTGCTGTACAAGAAATTCAAGATAATAAAAGAGAAGTTAAAGTCACAACCAAGAAAGGCCATAATGGAGAAATATGGAAATGCTGCAGCCCAAGAAGAGCTATCAAAGGAGCTTCTTTTGGGACAAACGGAGAGACAAACAGAATATGATCGTGCTGGCAGAATTATAAATGGCCTGGTATTATTCAATATGAAATTTGTATTGATTTCTTTTTACGAATTAAACATTTATTTTCCTTTTTGTGCTTCATGACTTACCATTGGTTATAATATACTATTTCCATTTGTTAGTTAGACCTATCATTGAGGAGAGATTGGAAGTTGGATAAGATGCCTTTTGGATTTTTGGTGGTGTTGCATAGTCATTTGTCTTTTTCGTCTCTGCTTTCTGAATTTAGAGCTTGAAGTTCTTTTGGGGGATTTAATAAATTATTGTATGGATTCCTTAGTTTGTAAATATTTTAAACAAACAAATGAAAAAATGTTGATTTATCTTTGCAGATTTTATCCATGCAGTAGTTATATTTTGGATAATGGAGTGGTTTTAATTGTTCGTTAATTGTAATTTGTTGTGCAAATTTTTCTATTGGCATGAATTTATCCATTATTTGGTAACTCTTCATTGTCATCAATCATTATATTGTAAAAAGGTTTCTGGTGGCTGATTTTTGTTTTATATCTGTAGGAAACATCTCTCCCAAATAGCAAGTACGAAGAAGATGTTTACATTAATAATCACACAAGTGTATGGGGTTCACGGTGGAAGGATCACCAATGGGGCTACAAATGTTGTAAGCAAACTATACGAAACAGCTACTGCACTGGGACAGCAGGAATTGAGGGTGCTGAGGCAGTAGCAAATTTAATGAAGACAAACATTGAACGGAAAGCAGCATCTGAAGGCAAGTATTCCAATTTATTGATTTTTGAACATTCTTCTTTGTTATCATTCTTTAATTGCATTATTTCCATATTATTTATCTTGTTTCCTGTTTATTTCATCTCTTTCAGTCGTGTTGTTTTCCTTTATCTTTATTCCTTGAATTTGGTATAGTTATGTTAGTTAAGTGCTTCTTGCTATTTTATGACCAAATGTAGTCTTATTAACAATGTCTACTCCTTCTATTCCCATGCGTGTCAAAAAATAAATGCAGATACTCCTGTTCCAGCAGAGGAGAAAAGTCTTGCTACTTGGGGAACTGATGTTCCTGATGACCTGGTCCTGGACCAGAAAAAACTTGCTGAGGCACTAAAAAAGGTACTTTTTTGGTTTTTTATTTTTAATTTTCCTTTACCTTTCAAGTTCCCATTCCATTTAGAGATCATGTAATTCATTGACATTGCCCATGTTTTGGAGCTTGACATTTTGAAAATATTCAATGATTTCATTTTCTTAATTTGGTTAAGCAACCATTTTCTTTTGCAGGAGGATGAAAGAAAGAGGGAGGAGAAAGATAACAGGAAACGCAAGTATAATGTTAGATGGAATAATGAGGTATTGTTTATATTTTGCTATTGTTTGTTAACCTAACCCATATTGAACTCGTAGCACTTCGGAGGAAGAGAAATTTATTTCCTTAGTTTGACACCATAATGTTTTTTCCAGGTCACTCCAGAGATGGAGGCTTATCGCATGAAAAAGATTCATCACGATGATCCCATGAAAGATTTTCTGCATTAGGTGTCTTTTCCTTTGGATGGATGCTATGAACTTGAAAAATCGTTGTAAAACAAAATTGCTGAACTGTTGAAGGTCATCGTTTTGGCGGGTGTTTCCTACCGTGTAAATGTCAAGAGACGACTGCAAGGAATTTTTTCTGGCAGATTTTTTTAATATTCATTTTTACATTTTAGCTTTCCGTTCTCTTGTAATTGTGCAAATATTTTTTGTCAATGGGTTGGAAGCAGAAGCACGCACCACCTTAAAAATGTATAATAGTAATACTCCTTTTGAATTGTTAGGTCCTTCAACCCCATTTAAGACTTTATTATTTTGAAGTTGAATAAATTAATTTTGGTTGAATATTTTGAATTATTGAACATAATTAGAATGTATGCCTGAAATGAAATAATCTCAATTCTAGATTTTACATCAATCATTTTACATGAGGATTTGATTCCGATGGTTTCCAAGTAATCACTTCTTTAAATCTTTAGTCGCCACAGCATCTTACTTTTCACCCTCAGAAAACAAGGTGAAGCCTATTATCTTTGGCACGTAAAAGAAGGTCCTGCGACTACATTTTGAGGAAAAACTCAATCAAATGGATGATAAAAGTACAACTTAAAGCGAGCTTTCTAATTTAATGCATTGTATACAAACTGCTTATCCGATAAATATGAGCACACTTAATCATATATACATGAGAATGAAGAATAAAAACAATGTAAAGAGGCAAAATAACCCCTTATGCAAGCCTAAAGAGCATATATACTGTCAGTTTTTTTGGCAAAACCCATTTCAACCGACTACGTTAAGAAGAACCCAAAATGAAGAACCCAAAATGAAGAACCAAAAAAGCAATTCCAAACAACCATTCTCCATAGGCCTATGAATCTTGCAATATGCAACACACAAGAGAATAGTGGACATAAATTTCAGGCACCTCGTGCTAGCATTTCCTGAAATTCCAGCAAGGACCTCTCTTTCTGAAGCCTCATATCTTCACGAAACTTGGAGATGAACTCCTCTGCCTTCTGATCCACCTGCAGCTGAGGTGACTTAGCAACCACAGCCTTCCATGCATCCTCTATACTATTCATGCCACTGCTCCCTCCTGCCAAATCCTTCTTCTCAATCACCTCTTTGCCTCTGCTTGTTTCCCCTTGTGATGCATGAGTCTTGTTCGCATGCACGTGCATGGAAGAAGCAGGCTCAGTAAAGAGGTCATCTATGCGTATTGCAGATATGTTCTTGCCATGAACATGATAATCAGAAGAAGCATATAATGATCTTCTACTTGTGAGAGAGCGACGACCTCTAGAGGGTACGAGGTGATGAAGGGAATGCAAGGTGGCAAGGAAACGTTTGAAGGTGGCTTTGATGGTTTTTGGAATGCCAAGTTTGTGGAGTTTTGATTGCAGTTTGTTGGAGAAGCTCTTCCAAGCCTTCCTAGCAGGTTGAAGCTTCTTTCCTAGCCTCAGACGAGACATCCCAACAAAGACTTTTTGGCAGAAAGAGGATGAGAGGAAGAAGGGAAGGGATGGATAGGAACAAGTTCCACTATAACAGGTGGGTGAATTAGAACTTAGAAATTGTTCTTATGGCCAAGGAAGTTTTGATGCACAGTAGTCTTATATAATATCTTACTTCTCAAGTTCCCATTATCTTTGTGGTGACACATTGCCACATCATTAGTCAAGAGAATGGCTCTAATACATTGTGTTTGATATCTAGTGCATCCAATTTGGAACATGAGTCTCTTTTGAATAACTACTCAAAAGGAAACTGATTTGATTCATTTATGATTTTTTTGTTCACTTTATAATATGAAATTATTTGGTTTAGTAGAAATCATTCACTTATATATGGAAATTCAGTAAATTTTCATATGATTTGATTTAGTTTTAATAAATTGATAATTATTCTCATATATCTACTATTCTAGCCATTAATTAAACAAAGCATATTTTTCGTTTATTTTTAATATATTCAATAAGTAAATTCTAAATGAAATGAAATTAAAAAGTTCCGATTTGAGAAATTCCAAACAAAATCATATATATTAATAGTTGATATCGGTCAAGAAAGATAGGCACAAGTTGAAATGTAAGAAAAGAAAATCCAAAAGTATATAATTTCCTGTCTAAGTATATCGCTTTCGGCATAATTGAGAGCGTTGAAGCAACCTTGCGTGCTAAGTTTATAAGGAAAACTCACTTCCGTGAACCCCACCAGATTATGGGGAGTGCCGGCATTTCTTTTTTGGGATACAATAAATCCGTTTTTCTCCTTCTCATTTGGAAACATTATAGTTAGGTTGATACTGTATTAGATAGGATTGTACCAACCACTAGTTTCAACTTTGTTTCGAAAATGATGACCACAAATTGTACGTGTCAATTAATGTAATTTCATTGATTTGTGTTAGTTTCCTATAAGCATTTTTCCAGTTTGTATGAATTATCAAGACTCAAAAGTCTTTTGTGAAGGTGAAAAAAACACCCATCTACCTTTTTATTATCCACGGTATTTTATCTAAAAACAAGTATTTGAGCGTAAAAGTGTTATAAATAGGTGATAATTTAAATAATATTATTTATTTCTCATGCATTTTTTAAGTGTAGAGTATTTTTAACAAGTACATTGACAACTTCTCGGTGAAAGGGTGAATGAGTATTTTAGCAAACAAGTCACAGTAATCTACAATAACAAGTTTTATAAGATGTATTTTATCTTTGTAAGATTATTATTACTGACACTCCTTCAAGAATACAATTTTTATCTACTTTTATATTTTAGTATTCAATATGGGACTATATTTTGATATATATACTTGTAAATAAAATAGTATATAAGTACTTTTGTTTTCAAATTAGCATAAAATCATTAATGAATTAAAAATGAAAAATGAAAAATACTTCACATGTTGTGATTAAGCGTAACATGTGTATATATGTGTACGAAAAACATTTTTGTTTAGATATTTTATAAACTTATTTTATAAATTACTTAACTCACATTTATAGTTTTATTAATAAATAATTAAATTATGTAAATTGGAAAAAAAAAACACAAAAAAAAAATCATTGATCAGATAAAAATATTTCTCCTATATACCTTTGGTTACGTTGAAATAAGTTTCCTTTGTATTTTTAAGAATGAGATGGAGAGGAGACGGAAGACGTGAAATAGATTTTGTCATAAATTGGATTTTAAAATTATTTTTGCAACATTTTTAAAGGTAAAACAAGTAGATATTTGGTAAGAAATGCTTCCTTAGAGTTGGCATGAAACTGGGAAGATTAATAAAATATTTCTTGATTTTTAGTCATACTTAAATTGAAATTATTTTTTTAATATTTAATTACATAATTTGGGCTTGGGCTTGGTTTATTATACAAGTGACCAAATTCTTACAATTGTATTTATAAACATGTGAAATTTTGTTATCACCGCAAATTATTTTAATTTACTTTCTATAGTTAGAAGTTGGAGTTTTATTACATGCAAGGGTTTTTATATTTTTATACGGGTAGAGAATCACCTCATGTAAAAAACAGTTTTTATCTTCATCTTTAAGAGATTTGATGTAAAAATAGTGTTCTTTGTAAAAATGTTACTGTATTTTTTATAAGTAAATTATTTTTAGATCGAATGAAAATTGAGTGATATAAAAAGTCTTGAATACATTATTTCCTATTTCCTATGGATCGAACCCAAATAAAACACTACACCAACTTTGTAAGTTTTTTCATGCCAATTTCCTCTTACATAGTATAGCTTATCTTTTTCAACATCCTCCAAATGTGTTATTGCGTAACCAAAAAACTTAGTGAATCCATCTACACATTAGAAAGCTTTAACTCTTAGTATGTCATAACTTTATCTCCATTTACCAAATTTACAGGGAATCCATGTACAATTTAAAAGTTGTGCAGGAGTGTCAAATTTCCAACCATATATTTTGTATTAACTATTTGCAATGTTTAATTACCCATCATCATTTCAACAATATTTCCTTTGTTATTGTCTTCTATTTTCTTTTTCATCCTTGGTTGACTTTTTCTCATGTTTATATTTTGCTGGTTTGTTTTTTGTCAAAATCTAAGTGGTCTAATTCTATATATTGAGATACTATAAAAAAGGTTTTCTATCTCGGTTAAAATGGGTTTTCTATGTCAGTTAAAGAGGCGACATAGATATAGAGGTCATAGAAAGTATGACTTTTTATGTCGGCTGTTATGAACCGACATAGAAAGTAATGAATTTTTTACAAAAATTGATATTGGCGATTCGAACCCAGAACATTAAAGTCTAGAATTGGACCAATCACTATATTACTAAGATTTTTATTTATTTACAATTACATTTCCTTTATATTACTAAGACTTTTTCTCATGTTTATACTTTGCTCGTTTGTTTTTTGTCAAAATCTAAGTGGTCTAATTCTATATATTGAGATACTATAAAAAAGGTTTTCTATGTCGGTTAGAGAGACGACATAGAAAGTATGACTTTTTATTTCGGTTGTTATAAACCGACATAGAAAGTAATGGACTTTTTATGAAAATTGATATTGGCAGAGGTTTTCTATGTCGGTTAAAGAGGCGACATAGAAAGTATGAATTTTTATGTTGGTTGTTATAAACCGACATAGAAAGTAATGGACTTTTTATGAAAATTGATATTGGCAGAGGTTTTCTATGTCGGTTAAAGAAGTGACATAGAAAGTATGACTTTTTATGTCAGCTTGTTATAAATCGACATAGAAAGTAATGGACTTTTTATGAAAATTGATATTGACAAGATTCGAACTCAGTACATTAGAGTTTAAAATTAGACCAACCACTATATTACTAAGATTTTTATTTATTTACCATTACATTTCCTTTATATTATATTATAATTTCTAATATATTATTTTATTATCTATTAGAAGTTTGTCATTAGTAAGATTTGAACTCAGTACCTTAGAGTTAAAGACCGATACTCCAACCACTAAGTTACTACGATTTTCCGATAAATAACTTACAAATAAATTATATTTATATACAAAATATATAAATACAAATATTTTTATATATTTTGATATATTAATATATATTTATATACTTATATATTTAATTTTTTTTATTTAATATATTCTTTCTATTTCGGTTGAAATTTAACCGACATAAAAATTTCATTTTCTATGCTCGGTTGAAATTTAACCGACATAGAAAGTTAACTTTTATGTCGGTTAAAATTTAACCGACATAGAAAGTGAATTTACCCACATATCATGTCGGTTATATAACAACCGACATAAAAAGTTCATAATATTATTACAAAAATGTCACCGCCCTATATACTATGACTGGTGGATTACAACTGTCATAAAAAGTCGTCATAGAATCCTATTTTTCTACTAGTGTATAGTAAAAAAAAATGTTACTTTTCACATTGATATTCTCAAGTCAATGTACATAATCTATTATTAATTTTTCTAATAATTAGGGATAGAAAATAAACTATTTGTCTATATGCTTTAAATCTTGCATATATGATATATTGTTTATCTTGTTTTAATAGTCCTTGTAAAATAACCTTAATTCTTTTTTAGTTATTATAATTAGTTATTTAGTGTTAAAAATAGAAAATATTTATCAAAATAATTAAGATGAGAAATAATAAGGTTACTTTTTAAGTGTATAATTCAATTAAATTATGTGTTTATTATTTACATTTTTAATATATTATGAATAGTAATTTTTATATTATTTCTCTAAAATAATCATTATTTAAAAAAATATCTAATAATTTTAACTTTAAATTTTTTATCATATTAATTAATATTTTTATACTTAACATTAAATTAATTATATTTCATGAAGGGTAAATTACCCACCTCCCAATATCTTTTCAAATCACATTTACATTGATAATTGTTTTTCACCATGACCTCCCTACATGTAAGTAGATTTAATGAATATACATATAATGTGATGTGAACATGATCTATGATAAGGGTAAGAGCAAGGGAAACAAATGAAATTCTTCAACATGGTTGACCAAATTATATTTTGGATTAATCAATTAATGGACTTTAGTTTGGTTTTATTGCAAGTTGTAATAAGGGCCTAATTGGAAATTTAGTTATCAGTCTTTGGGAGACCAAGAGGGTGTATAACTGATTGACTTTTGGTTGTCATAATTTCAGTTACAATCAGTCATTAAGTAGTATCAATTCCTAGGTTAATGGATTATTATTAGTCTTTATTTGTCTCTATTAAGTAGTTTTCAATTCCTAGGTTAATGAATCATTATTAGCATTTATTTTCCTTATTTTCCTTTATTGAATTTTTGTAATTTTGATAGCAAAGCTTCTATATAGGCTGAACCATTTTTATCAAAAATAACAAGTGAAATTTTATTAAAAAATATTATAGTTTATCTTTTTTATCTTAATGAGAGTGATTCTCCTAAATTCTTCAGTGATTCAAGAATCTTTAGGCTGTATCAAAGGACTTTCACATCCTTTGTGAGTTGTCTTCCTTGGGAAGAGTGATTCTTCCCTTTTACCTTATCACTAAATTCCTAAATTTCTTACAAGGTTCTAATTAACCCTAAAGATCTTAAATCATCTCTTGTACTATTGAGATTCATATCAGTTGGTATTCAGAGTCTCGGTTTAAGGGTTTGAACATCAAATTGATGGCAGAAGAGGAAAATTACAATCAAGAAATAGGAATTAGTTCATTTCAAATGAGAGCATTGATACAACATTTGGAAGGATTAATGATACGACATAACAATGAGTTCCATGAAAGATTGAACCGGTTGGAGAATAGAGATCCTGAAGATGAAGAAGAAAGGAGAAATAGGAGAAGGAATGATGGAGTAGCAAGACCAAGTAGGCTTGAAGGAGTCAAGCTTAGCATTCCTCCGTTCAAAAGAAAAAGTGATCCGGAGGCATACTTGGAGTGGGAGATGAAAATAGAGCATATTTTCTCATGCAACAATTATGAGGAGACCTAAAAGGTGAGACTTGCAACTACGAAATTTTCTGACTATGTTCTTGTTTGGTGGAACAAGCTACAAAAGGAGAGAGGTAGAAATGAAGAGTCAATGGTTGATACATAGACTGAGATGAAAAGGATCATGAGGAAGCGGTATGTGCCGGCTAGTTATTCAAGGGACTTGAAATTTAAACTCCAAAAACTTACTCAAGGCAACAAGTGGGTTGAGGGGTATTTCAAGGAAATGGACATGCTCATGATTTAAGCAAAGATTGAAGAAGATAAAGAGGTAACTATGACCCAATTTAGTGATGGTTTGAATATTTATATACATGATATTGTTGAGTTGCAGGAGTTTATTGATATGGAGGATTTACTTCATAAAGCAATTCGAGTGGAGCAACAACTCAAAAGAAAAGAAGTGACTGAGAGGAGTTCTACCAACTTTGGATCTTCAAGTTGGAAGGACAAAGCAAGAAAGATGGGGTTGTTACTTATAGTAGTTCTACACCTATTCCTACAAAGACTCCTTCAAAGTCTAAAGAACAACCCTCTAAAAGAAGTAGAGATGTGAAGTGTTTCAAATGTCAAGGCCTAAGACACTATGTTTATGAGTGCACTAACAAAAGGTTTATGGTTCTTAAAGAGAGAGAATATATAAGTGAATCTAAGGTTGAAGAAGGAGAGGAGAGTGAGGACATAGAGAAGGAGGAGATTCCAAAGGGAGATTTATTAATGAATAGGCGATTACTTGATGGAAAATTGAAGCATATGAAAGAAAGTCAAAGAAAAAACATTTTTTACACTAGATGTTTAATCAATGACAAGGTGTTCATGATTATCATAGATGGAGGTAGTTGCACTAATGTGGCTAGTGCTAGATTAGTGTCAAAGCTAAATTTACCTACTAAACCACATCCTAGGTTTTATAAACTTCAATGGCTTAGTAAGGATGGAGAGGTGCAAGTGAGGAAGCAAGTTGAAGTGAACATTTTCATTGGAAAATATAATGATAAGGTACTTTGTGATATTGTTCCTATGGAGGTCACTCACTTACTTTTGGAAAGACCATGGCAATTTGATAAAAGAGTCAATCATGACAGGTTCACCAATAAGATCTCTTTCATGCATCAAGACAAAAAGATTGTGCTCAAACCTTTGAGTCCAAGTGTGTGAGGATAAAAAGAAAATGAGAGAAAAATTTCTTCAAAAAAAGAGAAAAAAAAAAGTTTTAGTGAAACACTAGAAAAGAAAAAGAGTGATCAAAAGAAGAGTAAAACACTTGAAGTGAGGGAGAGTTATTTAGTTATAAAAAGTGAGTATAATGTTAGTTATACATTCAATTTATCAGGCTTATCTCTTTTTTATGTAAATGACAAATCCGATTTGAGGACAAATCCTTTTCAAGAAGGAGAGAATGATGTGAACATGACCTATAATAAGGACTAGAGCAAGGGAAATAAATGAAACTCTTCAACAAGTATTGTTAGTTGACCAAATTGTGTTTTGGATTAATCCATTAATGAGATTTAGTTTGGTTTTATTGCAAGTGGTAATAAGGGTCCAATTGGAAATTTAGTTATCAGTCTTTGGGAGACCAAGAGGGTGTATAGCTGATTGACTTTTGGTTGTCACAATTTCAGTTACAATCAGTCATTAAGTAGTATCAATTCCTAGGTTAATGAATCATTATTAGCCTTTATTTGTCTCCATTAAGTAGTTTTCAATTCCTAGGTTAATGAATCATTATTAGCATTTATTTTCTTTTATTGAATCTTTGTAATTCTGATAGCAAAACTTCTATATAGGCTGAACCATTTTTATCAAAAATAACAAGTGAAATTTTATTCAGAAATATTAGAGTTTATATATTTTATCTTAGTGAAAGTGATTATCCTAAATTCTTGAATGATTTAAGAACCTTTGGGTTGTATCAAAGAACTTTCATATCCTTTATGAGTTATCTTCCTTAGGAAGAGTGATTCTTTCATTCCACCTTATCACTAAATTCCTAAATTTTTTATAAGGTTCTAACCCTAAGTATCCTAAATTATCTTTTGTATTATTGAGATTCATATTACAATGTCAAAAGAAAAAGTCAATATTAAAAAAATATATAAAATAAAGAAATAAGATCTTAATATGCTATAAAGAAATAAGATCTTAATATGCTTTAAAGAATTTAAAAAATTACTCTAATGATAATAACTATACACATAAGTATAAAATGCTAAAAATTTTAAAATAATAAAACTTATTGAAGAACTAAAATCAAACCATATTATCTGCTTAAAAACATATTTAAACCATATTATATTTATAGTAATTAAAAATATAAATTATTATTTAAAGAAAAAAGGATTAATTTAAGGCGTAAAAATATATATTAGTCATTAAAACTAAAATAACTCAAATAATTTGTGACAGTTTTTAGAGTTTTATTTTTCATTCTATAATATATATATATATATATATATATATATATATATATATATATATATATAGGTTGCTGTCTCCAACCTCACGGAGAGCGTAGTTTTCTTCTTTCCTAAGATATCAATCAATCACTGTCATTGTACGCGTTTGGTTTTGCAACGAAGATAGCCAAGAAAATTCGCTTTAGTAAATAATAATAATAATTAATCATATAATCAACGTATTAAAAATGTGATAAAGTGAAATATAAGTTGGATAAAATTTAAAATTTAATCAGCAACTAATTATTATTACATTTTATGAAGGGTTTTGCCTAATATTTTCAAATCCCATATTTCTCTCATATTTGGTTACTGTTTGGTTAGTTACGTTTATAGCCCTGCACATTTCCCGATAATAACTATTCTGCACCTTCTTTTATCGTCACGACATATTTTCCCACTATCCGGTACCTTACACTGCTATATACATTTTCCAGGAAAGTTCAACGTTTTCCTGGAAAAAATTCTGATTTAATTCAGACCCAATTTTCCTTTGCCTCGTACCTCATACCCATTTCATATCTTCTGCGAAACTTGTATAAATATATATATAAAAAAGTTATCCTAATTTGCTTCTTAATTCCGATGGGGCAAGGGCAATCCAAAGACGAGTTGCTCTACCAGCAAGTCAGTTATGGGAACACCGAAGGAATCAAAAGTCTTCGAAGAGAAGGTGCACGCCTCGAGGTAATGTAACTGTTGCAAAATTTCAGGGGAGATATGAATTTTGTTATTATTATGATGGTTCTAGGTTTGGATCGATTGTATATTTTCTTATTGAGATGATTGTGTTGATCTTTGATGAAGTGGAGAGATAAAGATGCAAAGACCCCCTTGATTGTTGCTTGTATGAATCCTCAGCTTTATAACGTTGCGAAAACGTTGATAGAACTTGGAGCCAATGTCAATGCATACCGTCCTGGTATTGTTCTCTTTTCGGTTTGTTACGGCTTCTTGTTTCATTAATTGTCTTGGTGGGAAATGGTGCTTACTGCTTTTTATTGTGAATCCAATGATTACAACTTCTGAGAAACAGGGATGTTATGGAAAATTGCAATTTGATAAAAATTTTATACTTGGCAGTAAAAATAATATAATCTTCCGAGTGTTCTGGTAATGAGGTAGAGTTTTAGATGTTTACATGGCCTGTAGATTCCTTAGTCGATATGGTTGTCTCGCTTGTATCAGGTGCAACGCCATCCATACTTTTCCGAAAAGAATTCTAATGGAAATTGAACAATAAACTTGATTTATGTTTTTCCTCATCTGTTGGTTCTAACTTTCAACTGTAGTTTAGGTCGTCATGGTGGGACTCCATTGCATCATGCAGCTAAAAGGGGCTTTGAAAGTATTATTAAGTTACTTCTTTCGCATGGAGGTATGTTCAGTTATCTATAATAAAAAATTCATGATTACTTTCGTTCATTTGAATTCTAGAAACACTTGTTTATAAGGGATTTACTGATCTACTTTGCAGCCAATCCTTTAATATTAAATGATGATTGTCTAACTGCCCTGGAGGTTGCCAGGGTTAAAGGGCACCGCAATGTTGTTCGTACAATTGAGGTACAAAACATTTGTAATGTAACATCGATTTTCTTTTCTTTATAATGATACCTAAAACATCTAAGTTCTGTAAATGATTGTTGTTGGCTTGCAGAGTCATCTATGCTTGTTCTCTGGTTGGTTGCGGGAATCTCATGGACCTGGGTTTCTAGATGCAGTGGCTCCTCATTTGTTATCCAAAAAAGTGTGAGTATCATGTGACATTGTTGAAGCATCTAAGTACAGTTTTATAGTTGCTATTTTATGGCTAGTTGTTCTACCTTTATTTCTTAATGGATGGACTTGCATTCAAACGACCTGCAAATTAGTTTATTCGATTGTTCAATGGATGAACTATTATAAAATTGATGATTATGCTCACTATTGATTAATTTTATTTTCAGTTGGGTGGTTGTTTTACCAGTTGGCTCCCGAAATCTTACCAAACCTTACAAGTTGGAGCTTGCCATATATTCTAATTTGCAGGTATTTTATAGTTAATTATTTTTCCGTACATTTGCCGCACATCGAAGATAACATGTTTATGAAAAGATATTTGAGATACTAAATCATTTTGCATTGAAATGCTTCTAACAATATATGTTTGCACTTACCTGACTTAGGGTTAGTGCCTTACTGCTTTTATTTCTTTGAATATTCCTTCCATTATGTATTTTCATGTCTTTTTTAATGCATAAAATTAAATAAGCAGGAAGCACAACCACGTACGGTTATTGCACTATGGAAGGCCAATTTACAAGAACCAAAGCTTCACCAGTCTGATCCATCAGTGACAATTGTTGATCACACTACTAGTATTCTCTCATACTCTGTTCTTTTCATTTTCCTTCAAGGTTGCGTCATACTCAAGAGTTGGGTAAACTCGTACAAAAGAGTGAACTTGAATCTAAGTTTTGCTTTAAAAATTCATCTAGAAAATATATCTTAGTACCCAGTAAAGTATAATTAAATGGAATATCCATTATTAATATGAATATTCTACATTGCAAACAAAAATGATGAAGTGAAAAAACATAGCCTAAGAATCCGATGCCGCTCCAACACATCTGCTGGACACGTAAAAATGGATACAGCTCAATCTAGGACACGCCAAACAAACACAATTTCCTCTTCATCACAAATACGCATGATTCGTGTTCCTACTTCTTTGTGTTTACCCTTTTCCAATACACCCTCCATCGAACAAGCTACCTTCCGCCATTGAACCAGCCACCGTCCACCCACGAAACCACCACACCTTTTTCTTTGCATATGCTTTGTCTTTTGTTCTCTTGTTCGCTTATACAAACATTATTCTAAGGATTCAACCTTCGTTCGTTGTTCAATTCCTGCACCTTCTTCTTCAAGTAATGTCTCTCTGTTTTTGTGTAATCTTTATCTTTTTTATATAATTTTGGTTAATGTTTTCTTTTTTCTGATTTAATTGGTTTATAATGTTTATGTTTTTGTTCTGGTTAAGAATGAATTTTATAACTCTTAGGAATTTGATATTTATGTAATTCTTAGGTATTGGTTCTTTCTTAAGGTGGTTTAGGAATTTGAAATAAACTTTTTTTTTTTTCTTTACAATGATGGTTCTCAAATTCCCTTACATTTTTTTTATCATAGTATAATTTTATTTTATTTTTATCTCAAGAAGAATGAGATGCCTCTTAGCTTTTGAGACTTCTTATTATATAAACATATATACATCTTATTGAGATATTTGATAAAAAAAAAATTCTTTTGATTATAGTTATAATAAGTCTTTAATTTTTACTCTTGAAATAAGTAAAATCTTTACACACACACACACACACACACATATATATATATATCATCTTCCCTTGTTTTTATGATTTTCAATTTAACTGTGTCTAATTGTCCATGCTTCAGAACATATCTCAATTCTGTAATCAACTGTTATATTATACTGGCCCAGTACTTGTTCAATCAAACTGAACACAGTGAAATGAAGGACAGAAAACATAAATTTACCCTCATAGACTAAAAATAGAACAAAAGGAAAACAATGAAGATAAAAAACATAAAATTAGCTTCATGAACTCGATGCATCCCACAGAATGGTGGCAACTCCACTGAAGTACACAACAATATCAACAAAAGCCGCGTGTTTTGACTCAAACCATATGCAAATTCTAACTTGATAACTTGGTTTAATCTGGAGTTAACTGATTTTTGGCAAAGTTTTGAATTAAACGAGTTTGTGAGAAAATGTGAGCTTGCAATAGATTTAATTTCGTAAAGATCTTAAACTATTTAGATAATAAAGACTAAGACTTAACTGGAGAGTGTGACAACTATATTTTTCATTCAAGAAATGCTTTCTTCTAGGCTTTGACACTGTCGTGTTTTGTATGCGTGTGCCCAGAAACACGCATTAGACTTGGGCCTGCTAGTGACAATGACAAGCAACAACTTGCATGGTTTTCTAATGCTTGCAAAGGAATTCCACAGGTATGTCACATGCTATGTATACTGATTCTATTATGATTGTTGCATTGCTTAAACGGTACTTTAGAATCACTATTCTCTGTATTCTGAGTTTTTCGTTGAAATGTAGTACGTGATAATTGTCTATTTGTTACTCAAATTTTAATCCCTAAAATAGTGTGTTGATTATTTTTTCCGGAAGAAGAAAGTCATTAAGGTAACTTAAATGTCAATGATGTGGTTCTGAAATTGAGTTTAAGGATAACTTTCACTCGGCAAATAGCTTAATATCTCTCTATGATTGTAAATAGGCCGGGTAAATTGCATTTTCTCTCAAAATAGTTTGTTTTTTCATTGTTAATAATTATTTAAACTATTGGGTAGTTGGATAAAGTCTTATTATCCTATTAGGTGAAGTTGACTACATAAATCACACAATGTCATTCGACTCGGTTAAAGATTAAATCTTCAAATATATTCCCCGTGAGATTCCTCTTAACCACCTCCTTTAATCCAATGTCCTTCTGGGTCTCCTTTCCTTTTTAACATGACTAACAACCATGTAATATGCTCGCTTCATTAATGCTTTTAGGAGCCTTATTTGTACATGTTCACTCACTTCAATCAATTTTTTGTAATCATTTTGCATCCTGTTCTTTTTTGTGTGGTCACATCAATTCTAACATTCTCATTTCTGCTATTTTCACTTTTTTCGTTTCTTTTCCCTTTAACATTCACAATATATAATATAGCCAAACATGTAGTACTATGATAAAACTTGTCATCAAGCTCGGGTTTACTTTGCTATCAGAAATAGCCCCACTGTCTTTCTTCATTTTAACTATCCCACTAGGATCTCATGTGACAATTTTCTCATCATTTTGTAATATTGATTTCTGATATTTGAACATATCCTTTAAAAAAGTTATTGAGTGGCCAAATTAATTTTTTTCTGCAATTTTCACCCAGCATTTGATGCTCTATAAATGTGATACTCAAAGATGGGGGATCTTTTAATCACAACGTAATTTGATTCTGACATCCACCAAATATTAATGTCTTGATGTAATTAATTGTGGAAGATTTCTTTATCTCGATGTTTTCCGGAGAACCAAAACATGGGGTAAAGTGTAAACATCCTTTACATTAGTTTATTCAGAATAGTGAAGAGATTCCGATTCTCTAGTCATCTGAATGCTCGTCTAGTTGATTGCCTCCTGCAATTGACATTCATATAAATTCAAATCTTGCTAGCATATATTATTACGGTCGACTTCATTTTTTTTTATTTCCTTTATTTATTGGCGGACATTTTTCTTTTCAACCAATTTCTATTTTTTGCTTTTCATTATTAAAAGAAAATCTTATTTTTATTTCACCTTATTTCATTTGAACTTGAGAATGTTCAGGTTGCATATAATCTATGATGCATAGATACAATAGATACAAAAAGATTTTTTTTTTCTGTCTAAAAATAACACTATATAATACATAAAAATTTCTTAGGCGTTATGGAAATACATAAAATAATACTACATGTTTACGAATATATAAGAATTCATAAAACATAATAAATATATAGTTATGATTATGCAAATTCAAATCGAAATTTCTTGGGCATTATGGAAATAAAAAATTATAACTCATGTCATCATAAATTACTTTATATTTACATATAAGAAATTAAAATAATTCATAGACAACAATTTCCTTATTTAATTTTAAAAAAATAATATTTATATATTCATAGACATACTTATATATCTTAATTTTAATATCAACGCATGATTTCATTGCTTATTGGGTGATGCATTATTATTTGGATCTTTCAGACAAGTCCAGCATTCTTGCAAAACAAGGCGCCTACAGGTCCACCCACAGCACCACCAGCTGTAGAAGACACAGAGTTGGCTATGGCCATCAGTGCATCACTTCAGTCTGCCATGCAGGAGCGGCCACCCTATCCTGATACACGACCAAACGTCGATGCAAGCTCTTCAAGCAGTGCAGTGAATGCTGGCAATCATGGTTTTCTTGGCACACCAAATTCAAATACAAGTGATAGCGAGTTGGTACAAGAAGCTAACCCTGGTGGCAATAGTCAGCACCTCAAAAGCCATGTGAATGCTAGTGCTTTGGATTTCAATCCATCGGCTCCGCCAATCGTCGGTGATATTCCAACTGATGGCCCCATTCAGTATCCATCAATTGATTTAAGCCCTGTTGATATTGCATCTTCAGATGTTGAGAAGCTTCGTAATGAAGAGGGAAAAACTGCTAGTGGAAATGGCTCATCATGTGTTATATGTTTAGATGCTCCGGCAGAAGGGGCATGCATACCGTGTGGCCATGTTGCAGGATGCATGTCTTGCTTGAACGAGGTGAAATCAAAGAAATGGGGTTGCCCTGTATGTCGAGGTAAGATAGACCAGATCATAAAGCTATATCATGTTTGAGATTTGAAACGGTTTGGAGAAGTTAGCAATATTCGTGCATGTTGTTCAAAAATGAATTTTTCTGGTAGAAATGACAAACAGAAAAATGTCTATACTAGAAGAGTCCAAGTCCCATATGGGTGCTTTGTGAATATATTAAATTTGATATGTTTTTGTATTGTGAAGTGAAACTAGTGCGTTGCGGGTCTCAATTGTCCAATTGTGGTTCAGCATCCAAGTGACTATGAATGTAATACAGTGTTCCCAGGATTCCTGGGATTTGCTCTGAACGTAGTTGAAGTTTCTTGTTTAATATTTGGTAGTGTAAGGATAGGTTAGGAAAGTAAAAGAAACTGAATCTGATAAAACATAAAAAGCATAGGGAGTTCCTCCTCTAATCCATCAAGTTCCTTCCTTTTCAGAAAGAACCTTCCCATTCTCCATATTTATTAAGATTAGCGCCTATTTTTTCTTCATTTATGTGAAGATTTAACCTAGTCAGAACTTAATTCTTCAGAGTATATTTTCTACAGTTGTGTCATTTTTTTGCATAATCAATTAATTACAAATTTTTATTATAATTTTAAAAACAACTATGATAAAAGTAAACAATTTTCAATGATGTGACAAAGTAAAATTAGTTGATGGTGTTAACAATATTTAAACATTTAATATATTTATTCACATACTGTAAATTCAAATTTGTATAATACCAGGATTATATATATATATATATATATATATATATATATATATATATATATATATATATATATTTTACATTGTAAAGGATTTTTTTATTACATATTTCTAATCATTGTGGCAAAATTTTGATATAAGTAACTGTTCTTCCGTATCCATTCATTAGCATCTCTAATAGAAATATAATTTGTAATTTTTATTATATGTTATACTATCATTAAATAATATATACTTAATTTTTCTTTAATAAAAAACTATAAAAAAAATCAAAATATAATATATGATTTTATTGTTATTCGAAATAAAATATTTTTAAATTCTTAAGAAATTATTATAAGTAAAAAACTTTGACTCAAAGTCAATAGTGTTTTAAAAAAATCGAATAAATGAATTTAAGTCTGGATAAAGGTGTTTTAATCAATAAAAACGTTTCTTATTTTAAAGATTAATTAATATAAAATATTGAATCTGACACCTAAAATTGAAAACGATGGGATAAATATAATAGGATTTGTTCGAACTTATGATAAAATATAATTTTATTTGAATTTAATAACATACCCATAATAACAATAACCACTACAACTTAATTTAAATTCATGATATTAGAAATTGTAAAATTGAAAAAAAAACTTATACGACTTAATTTAAATTTGAATTTGGATTGGAAACTAACAACAATTATTTAAATTTACAAAAGTAAAAAAAATGAATTTCATAAATTGTGTATAAATATCATATTGTAAATTAAATTATTTGTTTTTTATTAATAAGTTGTGTCTAAATCAATATGAAAATTGAAGTTTATTTTTTCGAAACCTAATTATAAAAAAAAATTCACAAATAAAAATTATAGAAATTATAAATGTTGAACTATTATTATAAACATTAATATTTTTTTAATATGATCATTTGTGATTAGATGATGGTATAAAAATAATTTATATAATATGTGAAACTTTAATATTAGAATTTAGATCTATCTATTGTCATTGAGTGTGACCTATCCTTACAAATGCAGTTAAGATTACCTTCTTTTTATTGAAGAGTTCGTTGAAAAGTTCATCACCATTTCCACCTTTCCTTCAAAAGATTCAAAGAATTTTTGGCATAATAAATTCAAACTTTGGGGAGGTTAAGCACATACCCAGATGCACGAGTTACATACTATTCAACTCACTCTAATTAATTCATATTTATCTCATTAGATTATAGATCGTATTTAAAAGTATTATTTTAAAAAATAAAAATATCCAAAAATTCATAGATATTCTATAAAATATAGGAATGGAGAAAATGCATATTCAACTAAACTATTATAATAATAAACTCAATCTATAAAATTTGATAGAATTATAAAATTGATCAGATGGACTAAATAATATACAGTTTGAATAAACCGAATCAAATTGAATTATTTGAAATTATTCTTAGTTGATTAAAATGGTTTGCTTTGTTTAAATTATTACCAATCAAATTTATCTTAAATTTATTTTTTTTAATTTCATAAATTATAGTTAAATTAAATTTAGAAACTTTTATGTAGAAGTAATATTTCATTCAACCATTTAGTTTTATTTTCTTTCAAAACAATTCATTCACACCCTTTGTTTGATTGAAAGTGATAGATTTTATTTTCTTTGTTTTAAACACGAATTATGACAGCAAAATAATAGTGATTAATTTCAGCGTTAAAAACATGGAAGTAGAGTTAAGTGAGATATTGTTGGCATATCAAATCTGAAGACAACCTTGGTGTCAACTCAGCTTGTATCTTTTATGTATAAATTAAATATGATTTGATTTGTCTGCACAAACTTCACACTTTCTCAAATGCCCCACTCCTAACTCTTCAATCTCTATTCGGTTAGGTTACAGACATTTGAGGATACCATTTGAGGTGAAACTCTCACCTTTCAAAACCAAATTGCTTTGCAAATTATATTATCAAATTTTGCATGCTATAATTGGAACTCACATCCTCCAAACGATTCACCATCGGGTTCAATGCATCAAAGACGCACTAAATCTAGGAATTTTGAACGATGAATTGTAAAGTTTTTATATATTAATAATTCTCAATATAAAATCAATTGAATGTGTTAACATATTAAGCTTATTTTAGTTGGTTCAATGTATATAGATTGAAGATGCACTAACTCAAGGAACGAGAAAATGTAAAGTTTTTTTTTTTCTTATTATATTATATGAAGTTTAGATAGATGAGGGTGGTGAAGCGTATCTTAACTGCTATTTATGATGTTTTTTTTAGCGGATTTGATTCCCATGGCAGCAGATAATTAATATTTTCCTTAAAGAAATCAAATACGTGTTTTGGGGAAAAATTCTTTCACGCACAACAATGATCACCGAAATTATATGACTCACAGATAGAAATAACGAGAGACATAGATTTAACGTGATTCCACAAGTATTTTTGTCTACGCCCAATGGAATATTATTTTATATAAGATAACTCTTTTTTAAGATACTTCCCACTCCATGTCTACATAAATCTCCACATAAATCAATTATCGGCTTAATCTTACTTTAATGGCTTAATCTTACTTTAATATTTTATTACTCATAATCAAGTCACATCATGAACTTTTACTTTAATATTTTATTACTCATAATCAAGTCACATCATGAACTTTGATATTATCAAAAAATAGTTTCGTACACAAACATGAAAATAAAATAAAACACCATAAATATTCTAGTCTTACCAATATCTTGATTTGGTCTAACATTGATATTAATCCAAATAGATTTGAAGTAGAACGTAACATATTAGACTCAACAATTAAAGTCTACGAATTGACTATTCATTATCCTCAATTATTCTTAAAATACGCTTATAATTAAATAAAGATATTTAGAAGTATAAAACATTTTATCCATAATCCAATAAGGAGCATAATGATTACGTCAGTTAAAAAAAATTATTATTTTTCTTTATTTATAACTCTCACATTGTTTAATAATAAGAATAATTTATATACAATTTTTTTATTTATTAAAATATTTATTTAAAGATAAAATTGTGATAAATAAAAAACTCAAAAGAAACAATATTTCGTATATAAGAATTGATCATAACAATAATATCTTTATAAGATTTTTATATACACTTTTTTCTTTTAACTTACATAATAATATTATAACAAACATAAGACTAAGACACCCTCGTTCTTAGACGACAATTAAGTTATAAATACATATTTAGGTTTTTTGTAAAAAAATAATTAATACATTATCTAATTGTGAATTTCTAAAAATCTTATATTATAACAAATATAAAATTAAGACCTTATCTTTCTATAAGAAAGATTTAAACAAACTTAAAAACCTAAATTTAATTATAAGCAAAGTTAAAAGCTTCTTTTAAAAAAATTTGAGAAAAATATTCCTCTCACTTAAACTGTGAGATCTGTCTTCAAGTCTATTCACAACACAAGGACCCATTTGTATAAAGGTGGTTCATGACTTGATTCATTAATGAAACTTAATAGATTTGTATTGTCTCACCTCTTTACCCTCACTCTCATTATTATGGCAGTGAAGTTTTAAGAGAGTGAAGTTCAATATTCTTCTACAAGTATTTGATGATGATACTTCATACACTTCTCATTGTTAATTAGTTAATGCTAAAAGTTGTCAAAAAGGATGATTTCTTAAGTTTATTAGAAAAACTTGCATGTAATTGTATTTGAAATGGTAAATATATATTAAGAAGATATTTGATAGGCATAAATAAAAATTGATAAAGCACAAAAAAAAATTGTGCCTTTCTTTATTGTTATTTTTATTTGTAGCATTAATTATGTATTCTTTTGCTCATCATTGTGCATGAGAAAGTTTTTCCCAGTAGTATAAGTCATAAATTTTTAATATATGTTAAAAATGAGTCTAATATTATGCATAAAGAGAAATGCAAAAATACATATTCTTTATTAATTAAAATCTATTAAAAATCAAACAACTTTGTGAATCTTACACAATATATAATTTTTAAATAATAATAAAATATATTAAAAAAATATTTGATTGGAACTCTTTATGCATGTTTTTTTCTATGTGATGACAGGTTTGATTTAATTTGAAAAGGTTGAAAACTTTAAATTTTGGAAGTAAGTAAAATGAGTTATTTTTGGGTTAGTTCTTGTAATCTCAATTTAACAATAGTAGGTGATTTAATTGAAGTCATTTGCCGTCAATGATTATCATCATTGAAATCATTATAATCTGCACACAGATATCTAGGGTCTAGGGATTAGCACTTGTTGAAAAGTAACAATCTAATGATGGTAAGTTCACAAGCCCAACCATTGTCTACTTGTATGCAACTATGGCTGATGATCCCATTTTTTCCCAAACTAAAGTTAGTCGTATCAGACATAAAAGGGCAAATAAGTAATTTCATAAAGGTGTTGTCAATCAACGCAAGAGAGAGAAGAGAAGCACCAAAACCATTATATTTAATTTTTTTACCCAACACCTTTATCTGTCTGCATCAATCATCTCTCACTGTCATTTTCAACCTATTTCCATTTCCACAAAAGCCCTAAAGGCCAAAACACTGCTTCTTTCTCAATTAAGCCCCTCGCGCCTCTCACTCTCGCTTTCTCCCGTTGCTTCGGACACTGCCATAGGTAAAACCCACTCAGCTAGCTGCATACCCTTTCTTCCCCCACCCAAAAAAAAAAAAAAAAAAAACACTGTGAAATTCCTAAAAATGGTTTCAGAAAAACAAGGTTAGCAAAAAGCACCTAGCAACTACGCTTTCAAGTATTCTAGGAGTTATCAAAAAACATAAGGGGTTGAAGGTAGCCTAGCTACTAGGAAAATAGGTTTCTTCCTCTCTCTCTCTCTCTCTCAACTGTTCTTTTACCCTCCTTCCTATTACGTTATCTCCATTCTCCACCATTGTCCATCAAACCAACCTTCTCTCTCTTTCTCACTTCTCAGCACAGTTCAAACCTTACCGAAATCTGATTAAACATCAAAGTCATTTTCTCATCTCATACACACCCTCCTTCCATGCCTTCTATTCTCGAGAGATCCTCTTCCTTCCGCTCCTTACACACCTCAATCTCCACAATTGTTCAACACCCTCCTCGTCCATCCAACACGCAAAGTCACTGAACAAAATTAAAACGACAAACCCTTCCGAAACAGTGACAAAAAAGATCGCAGATCCAAATATCCAATAACACCTTCTCCTACAGATCATGAATTCCTTTCAAGAATTTGACTCCTCGTCAAACTCGGACACCAAAGCCATCAACCTCGCAGCAGGTAACACCTCCAATTTCTCATCACCAGCACCACCTTCATCCTCATCATCATCGCCTCCTTCTTCCACCACTCTGAGCCGCTACGAGAATCAAAAGCGGCGTGACTGGAACACGTTCGGGCAGTACCTCAGGAACCACAGACCCCCACTTTCGCTCTCACGCTGCAGCGGTGCCCACGTGCTGGAATTCCTGAGGTACCTGGACCAGTTTGGGAAAACCAAGGTTCACACGCACCTTTGTCCCTTCTTCGGGCACCCCAACCCTCCTGCACCTTGTCCTTGCCCTCTACGCCAAGCATGGGGCAGCCTCGATGCTCTCATAGGTCGCCTCAGAGCTGCTTTTGAAGAAAATGGGGGAAAACCTGAAGCTAACCCTTTCGGTGCTCGCGCTGTGAGGCTCTACCTTCGTGAAGTGCGTGATTCACAAGCCAAAGCTAGGGGAATTAGCTATGAGAAAAAGAAACGCAAGCGTCCCCAACACCCTCCTCCATTGCCCCCCTCAAATGATGCAAGTTAGTAAGGCCACAAAACTAACCTCATAATTCCTGTACCTTAGGAAATTCAAGGGTTTTGATACGGTTGTTAAGACACTCTACCCCTTTTTTTCTATATATGCGTCCAAACTCATTCAACACTATTGGTAAAAAAATAACTGTATCACAACTCTTAGGTGTCTATATCTAGCTATAAACTAACCTGCATGTTTCATGTAATTTATCACCTAGTTCCGCATGATGTATGCTAGTTTCGAAATTAGCATGACATATATGTAGCTAAATTATGTTTCTTTGTTGTTGTTTGTTCATAGTTTTTTTACTTCTGTATTTGCTTGTTATGCAGAAGTTGTGATTTGACAATGGGCTGGGGCACTGCATAATGGGGACACCCTTTGCAATTGCATTAGAAAATATTGTGTAAACTTAAACAGCAGTACTCTTGGTAGATGCAGCAGTAATTTAAGTAGTGGCAGTAAAAAACAGTGGAGGGCTGTGTGTGCGTGTGTCTGTCACAGACCAATATTGCAACATCGTGCGATTTGTATTAATAAAATAAAAATGTGTATGGACTATTGAAGATGTTATGAAGAAAATAATGGATCTCAAAACCGTGTTATTTTCCGTATATCTTCATTCCTTGGATGAGGTAAAGTGCAGTTTGTTGTTCTAGGTTCTTTTCCTCCAATTACTTTGTTGCGTTTGAAAATCTGTCTCTCTCTCACACACACACACACTCAAGTCTCAGTCTATATGATTTACTTAATTGTATATGTTCATTTATACTTAGTTGAAAACAAGGTGATTTTGGTGGTCGTTTTCTGTTCTGTTAGTTCTGTGATTTTGTGTAGTTTCATGTGTAATTTCATTTATAAATATGCAGTTGAACACCGAGTCCACACAATCTATGCTTCAAACTGTCATGCAATTGGTAGGCATCATAAGGTGAGTAGTGCCTTGGAGTGTGTGCACACGAACTCTCTCTGAATAAATTCTGATATATTGTCTACTTGAGTGGGAGAAAAGAGATTGCACTATAGCCAGGAGCTAGACAATTTTAAATACCCTCGTAATAGTGCTATTTGTTTTCTTTTGGTCAAAGCCTGGATCTTGGAACAGGCAAAATACTATGCAAAAACCATACTTATGTATGTAGTTCTTTTCATTTGTCCATGGTGTGTTGATTCAGCTTTAGTACTAATCAATCCTATACCAGACCTGCACTAGATTGACGTAAATTTATGTTACGTCTGACGTTGAAGCTTTGTTAGAGATAAAAAAAACCTAAAATTTCAAAAGTCTTTTGATTAATAGTATCTCTTTATGTTGATATAATATTATACTAATTAACTAGAACAGAATAATGATTTGACTGATATGCATCTAATCGAATACAGTTAACTACACATTTATAACATATTTTTAATTTATTGTTTTATTAAAAATTATAAGATCATGTATTAATGAATCATTTTCATAATTTTATAATAATTTTTAACCAAAAAAATAAACACATATATTAGAAAATGTGTTCTTAAACTTATCCTTATGCTGATATATACATTGGAGTGTGTGTTCTCTATTATTTAAAAAGTTAAAAAATCATTTTGTTTTGTCTAATTGTTTGGAAAAAAATTATAAATAAATTATTTTTAAATAAATTTTGAACTAAACATGAGTTAGATACTGAAGTTAGATTCCTGATGGCATAAATTTCTTCATGTGTCTGCATGCGTGACCGTACGAAACCTGACATACTGATGTGTTTTGAAAGCTAAACACAATTATAATATCGCTAAGATGTGTTGGTTCAGTCAAAAAAAGTTGTACTCTTTAAGACACTATTTTCTGCTACTACTTGCTTATGTCCACTTGATTGAAATTAATATATGGTGAAAGAAAATTGCATATTTTTCTTCCTGAATTTTGATATATTCCAAATGCTGAAAACAACATATATACGTGATTAATTGGACTTGGCATCAAGTATAAGTAAATTAAAGAGGAGCTGATATATGCATAGATAGTCCTGCGTGTAAGAAATACAGATATTATAAAAGGAATTGTTCAATACCAGTTTTTAAGTTGCATGTTTTCTCTTTCTTACGAATTGTATGAAGTAACTCCCTTTCACTCGTCTCTCTTTGTCATTTCATTGGCTTCTGATCATGAAATTTGTTAAGGAGATGCTTAAGAATAAGATAGTGACTTAACACGTATGAAGGAAAATATAATGAATTCAAAAGATAAAAGAGAAAGAAAGTGATATAAAATAGTGAATAATAGTTAAATGAGTACTCATGATCAAAAAATAAAATGAGAGAATGAAGGACATATATATTTATTTCTCTTTATTAGTTTACTCAATGAATAAATGTATATGTTGAGTATTTGATACATCAAATGAAAAAAATAGAGTCAAAAGAAAGCAATGAAGAATGGTAGCTCTGACATTAAATTGTGAAAGTTAACAATTCCTTGATATAATGTTATGTAATTTTGTCCATTATATTTATTTAGAAAGTTTGAATGCATAGGATGTGGTTGATAAATTGGGATAGAGAGATTTGAGATGAAGGATTTAAATGGGATTCGTGAAGTAGCACTAAATGCTGATCATTCATACAGACGCCCTACGTGTGTCCAAATGTTTCCCTCTTCAATTATAAAAGTTAAAGGGTGTGGAAAGAATTTATTAAAGCAATGTCTTTATATTAGTTTTCTATGTAGTGGGTTTACTGTGCCAAATCATGTAAGCAGAGGGCCACCCTTTACTTCTTACTTCTTCTCAATTCATCCCTTTTTTTTATTATTTTTACCTGCCTCATAAGGTGGGTCCTATTAAGGGAATACCTTTCTTTATATATTTGGATTTTGTCTACCAACAAAATCTAATATCATTACAAATTTAATTCAGGTTTTTTCAAAGGGCACAATATATCAAATAAAAAATTAGTTCAATCATAAATTAATCCAAAACGTACACGAAAAGTTGGGGGAGTAAGGATAATAAGCAAACCAGATTTGTTTTAGAAAATACCATTATATAAAATGTGTATTAAAATAAATTAAAAAAATATACTGATGATATTCATCATATTTGTTTTGAAAGGATTTGGCATACCAGCGAATTTCCCTCACTAACTGGCATTGGAGAAGATTTGTTTGAGGGAGAGATGTTGTTTGTATTGAAGTTCAACCACACTCTCATCCACTACTTGTGGTGTGACAAGATTATAAGTTGACTCCCAGGACTTTTCAGAATTCTTAAAATAACGAGGATCTTACAACCATGGAAATTAGAGAGGAGAATGTTGGGAGGAAATATCTTTTTTACAACTCAAGAATCTTATATTTTGCGTGTAAAAGGAAGGAAGATTTCTATATGTGAAAAAAAAAATAGTATATTCTTCCTCTTCTCGTAAAGTCAAGAATTTTCTTTTCTTCTACATTTCTTCTTTTTAATCCCATGATTTCTCACGTTAAAGTAGGATATAAATTATAAATTCAATGTGATATTGTGGAATTATATGGAGTGAGGCGAGGAGCACCTATAGTTATAAAAGATTTTATAATGTTTAAGTTAATATACAAATAAATAAATTTAAAAGAATTATATTAGATAATCTTACTTAATTAAATCTTGATTTCCTTATATACTTTTTGCATTTTTGTCCTTCTCATGTATTGTTGGGAAGATGTTTCTCTTGTCCATATTATAAAAACAACACATCACCCTCCAAAACTTGAATGTGTTCTCATGTTATAATCATTAAAGTTATTTTCAATTATTGAATTTAAACACTCTAATTGATTACAAAACTGGGTCTAATTGAAAATTAAGGATGTGATTCGTCGAAGATTGCTGTTTTCGTAAATTTGTAGTTCCTGTGTTCCATATATATATATATATATATATATATATATATATATATATGCTCCACTTCTCTTTGCATCACTTTTTGTTAGCAGACTATGATGATGCCAAGGATAGGTGCTAAAATTGCATATTAAAAACCACACCTTACGATGGATTTTTGGAAATGGGAACATAACCTATTATATATATAAAAGTATATTAATTAATTAACGTATAGATATTAACTTATAAAAGAAAATTTATTTAGCTCAGATAATAGAAAATCTTCAATAGATTAGAAGAAGAAAAAAATAAAAAAAATAAGGAACTAGATATTTATCTAAATTAGGACTTTAAATACATCATTATTATGATATAAAAGAAAAACTTAATAGATAAGAATAAAATATACCTGGACATCCTATTATATTTTCATGCACAATGATGGGTAATATTAATGATGAGAGTAGTAATAATGAGCAATAATAGTGACATTAATGGAGTAATTAAAAAATATTCAAAATTTCTCCTAAACATGATAATTAATATCTTTCCATGTATAACTTCACTTATAATCAGCCAATCAAACTAGATTAATCTGATGTGAAACTAATGACGGTAGTGAACTATGTCTATAAATTAAATAATAAATGTAAAGAACAACATCAAATTTAATTTTAATTTATGATTTATAAATTGGTGTAGAGGGGGAAAATTGACAAATGAAATGAAAACTTAAGGCATTAGGTTGAAGAGAACAGAGATGAGATTAGTAAAAAGACAGAGAAATAAGTAAAGTAACACATATTTTTTTAGAAAAATATTAAGAATAAAGTTGTAAGAATTGTATTTAAATAAGAAAAAAAATCAATTGATTTATAAAATAAACTCATAAAGTAAAATATAAGGAGTAATATAAGGAACTGTTTGTTTGTTGTTTTAAAAAAATAGTATTTTAGATTTTAAAAACTAAAAAACTTGTTTGATAATTGTTTTATTACAATAATTTAAAAAATTTGAGTTGTAATTTTTTAGTTTTTAAAAACTAAAATAATGAGAATTATTAAAAGATGCTTTATTTTTCAATTTTTCTACTCTCTTTAAACAATCAAAACATGAAAAAAAAGTGGTTTTTTAGTTTTCATTAATGCTGAAGTTATAAATTACTTTAAAAGAAATTTTTCACGTTCAAATTAAGATATTTTATAATATCTTTCATAAAAGTTTTTTATTTTATTTATAATGGATTTAGGGAGTATTCTTGCATCCCCTGTTAACCCATTTTTTTCATCTTATTTTTTGTCTGTTTAATTTTTTTTTTATTGTAAACCATTTTGCAACCTTTAGAATCACATTTAAACAGTTTTCTCTTTAAATGAAATTTTTATTTTAAATAGCTGGATTTTTATTTTATTTTTAATTTATTTTCATATAATTTATAAATGACAAATAACATTTATCTATTTTAATCTTCATTCTTTATAGATAACAGGTAATATTAAAAATAATGTTTCAAAGTTTTTGTATGACTTATTTATAATAATTTCTAATGTTTATGGATTTTTTATTTTATTTATAGTTTTTTATAAAAAAGAAATAATAATATCTTATTCCTATTTAATAGAGACTAAAATTTAATGTATTTATTAAACTATAATAAAAAATTAATTATAATCAAACGAGTTTTAAAAAAAATGTGTTCGAAAACAATTTTATTAAAAAGTTTTTTCATTTTCTCATTTCTAAAACAATTGTTTAACTGTAGTTATCATACAATTTTTTAAAAATTTATTCTCAAAAATATAGTTTTAAAATTTGTTTACTAAAATTATTTTTAAAAATTAAAAAGTAAAACTAAATTAAATAAATTCTAACTTTTTCCTCTTTTATCTTCCCTCGTCTTGACACTCAAACATGTTGTAATTGAATTTGTAGACGGAGTACATTTTACTCAATCTAAGTTTAATAACGACACAAATTAAACAAGTCATAAAAAAACCGACTTTATTAAATTTACGCTACAAATTTATTAGTTCAATCTAACTTGTTTGACCAATTTTTTGGCTTGATTTATTATACTAATCAATTTAGATTAATCAAGTATTAGTTCTCAACCTATCTAATTTAACTTTTACAACATTAGTTTAATATAATGATTTTTCCTTTTGGTAATTTAAATATCTAGTATTTAGTGACTATTTTTCTTAATCATTTGAAAATCAATTTTAATTTAACCTCCAAACGCGTTGAACTTAGTTTTGTTTGAAATGTTTAATAAAATTGAATTAACATTAAGGGTCTATCCCATACTTAAAAAAGAAAACATAAGAAAAGAAAATGAAAGAAAAAAATGAAATAGAATAAAAAGTATATTCTTGTTTGTTTAAGAGAAATTGACATGAAAAATTAAAGAAATATTAATGTTAAAAAATAATAAATAATTAAATTTAAATTAAATACTATTTAATTATAAATTTATTATATAATTATTTTTTTAATAGAATATCTTTTTAAAGAAATACTTTTAAATCATATATTTTATTTTTTAATAATATATATTTTGATATATAATTATAAAATATTTTTATCATAGTGTTTTTTTAATTATTTAAAATTAAATTAATAAAATAATATCATATTACAAATAAATAATTTTAAATTATTCGTTTGAGTTTTATAATTATTTTAATATTTATAATATTTTATGAGAATGATAATTTAATATATATATATATATATATTGAAATTATAAACATAAAATTAAATAATTATTTATTTATTCAAGATAAAATAATTTTATAAAATATAATCTTTTATTTATTTTTTTTCATTTTTTTCACTCACATATCAAAGAAAAGTAAATATATCCCTTACAATAAAAAATAACATTTTTTTTATCTTTCTTATTAATTGAATAAGAAAAATTATTACTTTTCAAGTCATTTTCAAATCTAAAAATATAATCTAAACAAAAATTTATAAATCAAAGATATTGAGTTAAAATGATAGTTATTTTATTTAAAGCAAACTTATCCTTTGATAATATAATTTAAAGTAAATTTATAGTCGCTTAAGTTACATATTAAATTATTGAGTTTTTACGTTACCTATAACGGAATACTTAATAGCAAATATTCATCACTAACACATCTTTCGATAATTTTATAATGTCTTTTATGGTAAAAATATTAGAAATAAAAAATTTAGAGACAATTAATCACATAATTAATGTATTTCTCACCGTAAAAAAATAATAAATATGAAAATATATTTGAAAAGATTAAATAGAAAAACAATCAAATATATGTAATTTTATAATAAAACAAAAGGAAAAAATAGATTTAAAAATTAAAGAAGGTGTAAAAAACAATTGTCCAATAAAAAATATAAGCACTAAAATCCATTTGAAAAGATTAAGTGATAGAAAAAGATAGCTAGAGAATTAATGCTTGCACTGTGAATAAAAGATTGAGTAAATCCTTAATCGTTTCTTCCTGTTTATTCTCATATCATATCAAAATAATTATTCTTATTTTTCATCATAGCAAAGCTCATGCAATCTTGAAAATGAAAAGGAAGAGATAAATGATGACCATAGTGTGTTGTTATTATTGGTTTAAGAAAATATCTTCTTCTACTTAATTTTTTTTTCAAAATTTAAGTTTTTGTTTGAATTGAAAAATAAATTTGTGAGGACGGTAAGAAAATAAAATAAATTTATTTGAATGAAAAGAAAACAAAAATATATATATATATATATATATATATATTTAAATAATTTTATTTATTATTTTAATATTTTTTTAACAAGAGAACAAGAAAATATCTCATGAGATCAATAACAACAAAATCACAATTTTATTCTTTATGATTCTTTCACTATCTTTTTATCTTTCTTTTCTATCTATTATACGGTGTGTTTGTTTCTGCCGATCAAAAGTCAGAAAAGAAACAATGCATGGAAAGTTAGGAAATCGATGATGTTTTGTTATTTAAAAAAAAAAATCACTCCATCCTTTAAGCGAAGAAAGCCAGGAAAACACGTAGAAATACTATATAATAAATTATTTAAAATCAAATAATTAATTATATAATAATTTTTATTTTTAAAAATTAGAATTATAATAAATAATTAAAAAACATAATAAATAAAATTATAAAAAACAAATACATTTATTTTCAAAATTTATTTATTTATTACTTATTTTTTAATCTATTAAATCAATCTTATCATTCACACATTTTCATAAATTTTCTTTTTATTTCTCATTATTTTTTTTTATTTTTTTCTTAATTCAAACAATTCCATTTTCTTTTTAAATTCACTCATTTTAGTCCTATTCTAACCCAAGCTTAAGTAAATTTAGGATGATGAAAGAAAGTATTAAATCAACACTTTTATTCAATATTATTTTGTTCTCATTTTTTATCTTTGTCATCTTTAAGCTAAAATGAGAATAAGCATGATGAAAGTTTAATGTAAATGATATGACAGCATCACTCACAGTAACATCATATATAACTCAGGACAGGCTGAAATTTAGAGCTTTAATGCAAGATCCAGTGCATCATCATCATTGATGATAACCTGATTGAAACCTTGGTCATTGATGGGTTTATCCAGTAGATTGATATATGGCCTAGTTCCATCAATTGGACTAACCTCCATCTCCGTTTGGTGGATTAATGAAAAAAGTAATTGTGCCACTTCAATAACATCAGCACTTACAGATAGCATAGAATGGGGTGGACCTTGGAGTGATTGCGAAGCAGCAACAGTCTCTTGGGTAACACAGGGAAATGAGTTTGCTCTAGGTTCAGACATCACCATAGGTTCTTCTGCTTGTGCCTCCAAAACCCTGTTCATAACATGAATTTGAGTTTCCTGCATCACCATAGGTTGATCTGATGGTGCCTGGAAAACCATATTGTTATAAAAGACACATGTTTCTTGCGTCATCATTAATCTGCCAAAATCTGACTCCATCAGATTTGGAATAATTTCTCTTATAGCAGGGTCATCCAGAGGAAAATGAGACAGAGCATGGGCTATGAGTGCTTGAAAGGAAAGGAAAACAAGGTTGCAAATTAAACATCTAAAACCATTTTGGTTATTTTGGTTAGGGTCTTCTCCAGAATTGGATTCACTTTGGCCACGACTAACATTAAGAATGGTTTGGGTATCCATGGACATGATTTAGCATAAGAACTCATATACAGCAAAACATGAACACTTCAGATACTGGGATGGGTGTCTTTTTATGAGAGAAATTGCTTACACACATTAAATGCACAAATTAATATTTATGAATTTATTATTGTATTAATAATAATCGAATTAATGCTTTTTGAGAATACTTATTATTACATTTGCGATTAAAAATATTTAACTAAATATATGTTTGGATAAATTTCTCTATAAACACTTCTAAGAGTGAAAAAGAGAGAAGAAAAAATTAAATCAACTTGTACATGAACTAAAATTAACTTGTACATAAGCTAATTTGTTGATATTATATTTTAATAGCTTCTTTAAAATCTAAACTCAGTCATGTATTAAATTTATATTTCTTTATTTTTATCTCATGTAACTATATATGGAGAAATACAAATATGTTATAAATGAGAATTAAATGATAATCAAAGAAAAATAAAACGAAGTGAAAAAGAATCATTGTAAAATAATTCATTTTATTATTTTTTATTTTATTCATTAAATCTATACGGACAAAAATTTAAAATATTGATATATTAATTATTTTTATGATAAAACGAAACGACTAGTCTATTTCAGTTTTTTCATTCCATCTCTAGTAAAAAATAAAATAGAACATGCTAATAATCATTACAGTGAGAACAGACCAATATGTTAGCTAATCAATACACCAATTTTTTTTATATAAAACTTTTATATGTAACTTTTTTAAAATATACTTTTAAATTATAGGAATAAATTTTAAATTTTTATTGGATAAATTTTAAAAATTATTATATTTGTACGTTAAAAATTTTAACTATAATCAATAATTTAAATTTAATTAAATAATATTTATAATTTAAAAAATTATAATATTATAATATATTTTAATAATATAAAAAATATAATATTTATAATTATAATTTTTTTATTTTAATATATAAATATTTTTTTAGAAATACGAGCATCCATCCTTAATTTATCAAATTAACAGATTAAAAAACGAGACAAAACCAATTAATTAGTTAAAACTATCAATTTCTCCCATATTTTTAAAATGAGATTTGCCATATTATTTTGTTATCCTTTGGAAATAACGGAAGGTCCAATTGTTTCTTACACTAACTCCAATTCCATGTATTCAATAAAAATTATTGATGCAACCATTAAAATAAGAATTCTTAGACGTTATAATTAATTTAATTCATTCTATTACGTGATTTATACGAAATGTAATAATGGACTTTAATAAAATACAATGACCTATTAGTTATTATAGAAAATCAGAATAAAATAAAATAAAAATTTACGAGTAACCAATTTGATGGACGTTTAGTTAATGAAAGATGATTAAGGTTACGTCTCTTTTTTCTCACAAGTAAACCATTAGAAAAATGTGACAAGAAAAAGAAAGACAGAGATAGATTAAGAAAAAGAGGTTGAATAACAAAGACATTCAAGAACACATCCTCGTTGGATATCTAATGGAACAAGGTTAGTCTCCTTATTATTTATGTTATTATATGAGAATCATGAATTTAAAGATCTTATAGTTTTCTAAAATGAATAAAAAGAAAACTACATAATTGATTTACCTAGTTTCAGAGCATAATTATTAGATTTATAATTTTCCTCTTATGATAGTTTTCCAAATTATGTTTTTCCTAAATTAAGATAAACTTAATTATGAATTTAGGGATTTTCTCCATCAAATTAGTATGAACCATATTTTATTCCCAAATTAAGTGGACTTGGCGGAATGGTTATTGGGTAAGACCCGAAATCATGTGGGTTCTGTCTGCGCATGTTCAAATCCTGCAAATGACGTGATGTTATTGGATTACGTCACCAATAGGATAGGATTAATGTTGATACATTATTATATAAATAATGTATTTTTAATTTGTAATAATTATACGTTATAGATAATTTGTAATTGGAATTAAATGAATGGTTGTCATGGGATGTGCATAAATGCCTTAATTACAAATTTTGTTTTGCAAATTGAACCGAATTGTTTAGGTTGTGTTTAAGTTGCACATAAAACTTTTGAATTAACGACAATTTCACTTTTATATGAAATGAAAATAAAGGTTTTGGATTGAAAATCAATCCTATAATGTAAATTGAAATTATGAGTTTCAATTTTATTTATGGTACATAAGATTTTATTATGTGAATAATGTACATGTTATTAAAATTAATGAAAAATGATATGAATGGTTAATAACAATTAAAGATGTTGTTTATTTGAAATTAAGCATGATAAATTTTGTTAGTCACCAAAGTGACCAAAATTTTAAGGTTATTTGATTTCAAATTATTAATGATTTTATTTCAATTACTCATAGTATGAATGCTAAAATTATGAATAATTGATTTATGGGTTAATTGAAGTTCACTATTATAAAATATTTTAGGATCACCCAAATTAATTGTTATTATAATTAATGAGTATGAAGATAGATAATTTTGTGTGCGTAACTAGTTTTATTTATATACCCAAAGGTGATAAGGTGATTCTAGTTTATGCATATTTTAATTATTACTAATGCTATAAAATGGTTAGCATCATTATGTTTGTGTATTAATGGATCTCCCAAAGGAGAACATTAGTATGCATAGAATGGTTATTTATGTTTGAATATATATTTATGTTTAGTTTTTATGACTCAAAGCATTAATGTTAGGTATGTGTTAATTGAAGTATTTGTTCTTGTATATTTACATTCTCTTACTTTGTCTGTTTCAGTTTTTAATGGATTAAATTTCCCTAACTAGAGTGAACAAGTCCAATTTCACTTAGGTGTATTGGATCTTTATTTGACTTTCTAAGTTAAAAAACTGGTTATTATCACTTATGCTAGTAACAATGAAGAGAAACTCATTATAGAGCTTGAGAAAGGTCAAACAAACTTAGCCTTATGTTTATGCGAATGAATATAGCAAGCAATATTAAGTTTGCTATTCTTAAGACTGAGGACGCGAAAAAGTTTATGAAATTTATCGAAGAGTGTTCATAAACTGTTGACAAATCTCTCGCTGGGACATTGATGAGTATGTTGACCACCATAAAATTTGATGGTTCTCGTAATATGCATGAACACATAATCGAGATGACAGTGGAAGAAAATTTTCTTGTGCAATTCATTTTGAACTTGTTACCATCTGAGTAGGTTCGTTCCAGATGAACATAACACCATGAAAGACAAATGGAATGTGCATGAATTGCACAGTATGTTAGTCCAAGATAAGACCAGACCTAAGAACCTAGAAAGTCACTCTATTCATTATGTGAAAAATTAAGGAGCTGAAAAGAAAGTTATTAAGAAACATGGAAAGGATAAAGGGTAAATGATCATTAAAGATTAGCGAGTCCTCTACTAAAATTCAGAAGAAAAATGACAAATGTCATTTCTGTAGGAAGTGTGGACGTTTTCTGAAGAATTGCTTAAAGCGTAAAGCTTGGTTTGAAAAGAAATGTGAGTATAGTGCTTATGTATGTTTTGAATCAAACTTAATTAAAGTTCTCCATTGTCGCCGCCGTCCGTTCCGACGTCCTGAGGACGTCTCGAACGTTTATGCGAGCGGTCGCGAAAAGATGGTTGAGACTCGCGTTTTTTGTTAAAATTGTGTTCATTGCTTCCGAGGTGCTCAACACTGAACTATCCTCTAATAGAAGCAAGGTTTTCGAAAAGGGGTTCTTTTGGAGTCGCCACCAATGTTTTGACCAGAAACATTGGAAAAGGAAAAAAGGCGTTGATTTTATTAAAAACCAACTTGGCCATTATAACCAGAGTTGGGTAAGGGAGTTAGTTACGTGTGGAGAAGATATTAGCACCCCCACAACGCCCCTTTCGGGTTCCCTATGACGGATTTATTCATTAAGTGAAGATTATGAGAAATTACGCATTTACCCTATTTTATTTGTACAGTTATTTAGATATGGTTATCTACATGATGTATCTACATTGCATACAGAAAACAATAAATAAAGCAGTAAAGAAGAAGAGAATTGAGAAAAACCTCCGTAGCAAGCTTTATATTATGATTCTTGTACAAAGAGGACGCGTTTCGGCAGTCCTTCGCTCTACAATTGTTCTCTCCTCTCGATTACAGACTCGACTCGACTAAATTTTCTAGAAGAATCGAATGCCGGAATACAAATTTCTTAACTGATTGTTACCTTTTAAAGGCAATCAGAAAGATCATTCGAGAGAGGGAGAGAAGAAGACAAGTCTCTGAGTTGTCTGGTGTGTGGAGAATGACAAATGAACCTCCTATTTATAGTTTTTTCGCTGCCTGGAACTTTGGGACGGCCGTCTGGGTTGGGACGGCCGTCCCAAACGCGTTTTCTGCATTGTGCCAATCTGGGACGACCAGTCCGGGTTGGGACGGCCGTCCCAAATGCAATTTTACAAAGGCCGAGACCCCCGACGTTTGGGACGGCCGTCCCACATCCGGGACGCGCGTCCCACTTGTTCTCAGGCCGGTTGGGACGGCCGTCCCAACTACGGGACGGTGGTCTCGGCCTGTTTTGTCCAGCTTTCGCGTTTTGGGACCCCCGGGAAGCTTTCCTTTCCTGTTTCGGACGTGGATTGATGCCGATATATGTCCGTTGAAGCTTTATCTTCATGTAGGAAGTCTTCTTGGCCTTCATTAAGATGCCAGGCAAACTTTTCCTTTGTTTGTACGAGGTCTTTTTAACTTTTATCGTGCGGATGAGCAAGCTCCGTGTTGTTGCAGGAGGTTTCCTCGGCTTTGGGAAGCCGGATGAACTCCATCTTCGAGCGAAGTTCCTCTAGCTTTTATTTTGAGAGGCCGGGCAAAATTAGGGGTCTACAGTTGCCCCCCCCTTCACCTGCCTAACTAATTCGTTGGTTTTAATATGCCGACAAAATTAGTTGGTAGGGGAAGGAGTTAACCCTTTTGCCCGGCTATCCTTCGGATGCTGCTCCTTGCTGATCCTCCGGATGATAAATATTTTGATA